TCTTTACAACAGCATCAAAACAGCAAAATATATACAAATAGCCAATAAGCACATGAAAAAATGCTCAACATCACTAGTCACTAGGGAAACACAAATCAAAACCACAATGAGATTCTACTCCATACCTACTAGGATAATGATGATATGTGTGTGTATGTGTGTGTGTGTGTGTGTGTGTATAAATAATAAATATTGACAAGGATGTGGAGAATGGAGTCCCTTTTGCATTACTGTAAGGAATGTAAGATGGATTTTGAGACATGTAAGGCTTTTCCTAGTCCCAAATTACAAATGAATTCTATCATGTTTTCTTCTAGGATTTGTATGGCTTCACATTTTATATTTAGATCTCTGATCCATTTGAAATTTATTCTGGTATATGACATGAGGCATGATTCTACTACTATATTTTTCCATATGGCTGTCCAATTTCCCTAACATTATGTATCAAAAATTCCATATTTTCAGTGTTTTAAATCAGCATCTTTTTCATATAGTTCTTGTCCACATGTAATTATGTGTGTTTTTGGACTTACTATTTATTTCGTTCTCTTGAGCTATTTCTAAACCAGCACATTTTTTTTTATAGAAACTTTGTTTCATCATCTAACATGGCTGGTATACCCTCACTGAACTTCTTTTTCAGAATTTTCCTAGCTATTTCTGTTTGTGTGCTTTTGCAAATGAACTTACAATCTCATTGTCTAGATCCAGGCAAACATCCCCTGCCCTACAAAAATTGGTATTTTTATTTGGAACACATAAAATCTTCATGATTCTGAGTAATTCTTTTGCTCAAGTCTATTTTTATACCTTTAAGAAATGTTTGAATATTTTCTTCAAATGTTAGCTGTATTTCTAAGTATCTTAACATTTTGTTGCTATGCAATTGGGCTCTCATCCTTCACAGCATGTAATTTGTATTGACTATATATATCCTGCCACTTCACTGAATTTTCTTATTGTTTGCATTAGTTTTAGCATTGATTCTCTTTCATTTTATATCATCCTTTTCAATTTTTATGTCTTGGTTTTGTCTGCATGCAATGGTTGTTACATTCAAAAAATATTAAGTACTAGTAGAGTAGCTTGTTCCTGATTCTAGCAGGAATGACTCTAGTATTTCCTCCTTAAATACATGCGACTTTTATTAGTTTTTAAGAATCAGGAGGGCTGGGGTTGTGGCTCAGTGGTAGAGCGCTTGCCTGGCATGCATGAGGCACTGGGTTCGATTCTCAGCACCACATACAAATAAATAAAATAAAGGTCCATCAACAACTTAAAAAAAAAAAAAAGAATCAGGAATGAGCATTAAGTTCTGTCAAAGACCTTTTTGGCAGCTACAATCAAATTGATTTTCTTCTTAAACCTATTGAAATAAAGAATTACATTCATTGATTTTTCTGATACAGAACCATTTGGTAATAAATTACATTGGTCATGAAACATCATCTTTAATGCCCTAATGGTTTGTTGATATTTTGAGATTTTTTTCACTGATATTAATTTTATAATATTTGACAAATATATCATTTATAATCATAGTTTATACTAATCAATAATTTGATAAAATTATTAATTTTGATATTAATAAGAGATTGATCTAGTTGTATTTTGTATAATATGTATGAGTTTAGGTATTGTCAGTTGTCTATTGTTATAATGCTAACATTCAACAACAAACTCTCAGAGGCCTACAGAGATAAAATATTTATTGTTTATGTGACTGACGATTTTGATATTGGCTGAACTTATATATATGGAATTCAGCTGACTGTTGGCTGGAAGGAACAGCTGGAATGACCAGGTTCTTCTCCACATTTGTCATCTTTCCTTGTCATGTTATCATAGAAATGGTGCTCCTGCAAGAAAGCAAGCTCAACAACACAAGTTGTTTTCAAGCCTCAGCTTGCGTGTTTGCTAACACCCCATTGACTAAACCAAATAGCACTGCGGATCTTAAGAGTCGTAACGGAAGGGTACGACCAAGTTATGCAGCAAATTCTGTGGATAAGTTAGATGTGGCTGTAGTCTGGATCTGGAATGTCCCCTAAAGGCCCATGATTAACAGCTTGATCTTTAGCCCATGTTGCTATTGAAAGGTAGTGGAATCCTTAGGAGGCGGGCCCTAGTGGAAGGAAATAGATCATCAGGGCTATACCCTTGAAGGGGATATTGGAACCCTGGTCCCTTCAGGTCTCTTTGCTTCCTGGCCACCATGAGGTGAGGAGTTTCCTCCATACAGGCTTCAGCTAATGAAATACTGCCTCACTGCAGACTCAAAAGCAACGAGGCCAGCCAACCACCAATTGAAACCCACTCAAACTGTAAGCCAAAATAAAAGATTTCCTCTTTTTAAGTTGTTTATCTCAGAGTTTGTTTGTTTGTTGGCTTATTTGTGGAGCTAGAGATTTAATAAGGGCCTCACTCATGCTAGGAAAGTGTCCTACACTCCCAGTCCTGTTTATCTCAAGTATTTTGCTACTGTAGTGAAAAACTGGTTAACCCAGGTATGAAGCATTTGGGGCCATTTTTGCCAACTGTTTGTCCTCATGACCATTCTTCACATCATTCCTACATATGATATGTGAGCATTCTCATCCCAGCAGCCTCCAAAAATCTCAAACATGACTCAGAATTCAAGATCTCATAATTCCTCCTGTAACGTCTGGAGGTGGCTACTCATAATCCAAAGATACACGAATTGGGGGCTGGGGTTGTGGCTCATGGTAGAGCCCTCGCAAGCACATGCGAGGCACCAAATTCAATCCTCAGCACCAGGTTAAAAAAATAAATAAAATAAAATGAAGGTATTGTGTCCAACTACAACTAAAATATATATTTACACACACACACACACACAAGATACATGAATTAAAATTCAAATTAGGCCAGGCACGGTGGCACACGACTATAATTCCAGAGGATCGGGAGGCTGAGACAAGAGGATCTTGAGTTCAAAACCAGCCTCAGCAAAGCCAAGGTACTAAGCAACTCAGTGAGACCCTGTCTCTAAATAAAATACAAAATAGAACTGGGGATGTGGCTCTGTGGTTGAGTGTCCCTGAATTCAATCCCTGGTACCCCCCCCCCCCAAAATGGTCAAATTAGTTACCCCCCCATGTACCTAACATAAGTCGGTAAAACAAGGACAGGGTAATTACAAAAGCACTTCCATTTGGAAAGCATGAGAATGGAAGGCATCATAACATTTACTTGCTCATAGCAATTCCAAAATCCCAATGGGAAAGTGATAGCAGGTCTCTTTGCTCTGTAGACGGGCAATATTTTGCAAATAAGCTCCAGTTCTGTATCCTACGTGTATTAGGTATCTATTGCTGCCTAACAACATCAGCATAAAATTAGTGATTTAAAACCACACCCACTTGTAATCTGAGTTTCTGTGGGTCAAGAATTTGAGCATGGTCTAGCTGGGTCCTCTACTTCAGAATCTCTTACAAGACTGCAATTAAGGTGTTAGCCAGGACCAGGGTCTCATTTGAGGCTTCACTGGGCAAGGATCCACTTCCAAGCTCATGGGGTTGTTGGCAGGATGCAGCTTCTTGTGGATTATTGGATAAGGGCTCCAGTTATTTGATGGAAATTGGCAAGAAGCTGGCCCCAGTTCCTTGCCATGTGGGTCTCTCTGTAGGGCAGCTTGCTTCATCAAAGCCAGCATGGGAGTCATTACAGCCTGCTAGGAAGATGGAAGTTAAAACCTTACATAACATAATTACAAAAATGACATTCCATCACCTTTGTCATATCCTCATAGAAGAATATCCCAGACCCCACTTATATTTAAGAGGTGGGATTACACAAAGGCGTAAATTTCAGGAGGCAGGGATCATTGCAGGCCACACTGGAATTTGTCTACTCCAATCCGTTGCTTTCTTTGGCTCTTGGCTTCACCCTCTTGTACCTTCCATGCTCTATTGTCCTCCTTGGACACTTATGAAGACAGCAGTGTAAAATATGCCTTTTCAGCAACTTTCATAGCTTGCTTCCTACCCAGGAGCCCAGAGTCTTTCTACATGTAGTTCCTTTTAGTCTAGGTTAATACCACTTTCATTAGTGTAGCTCTCTAAAGTTTTCTGGGGAAAACTCTGATTGGAGTCCACTCTATGCGCAAAAGGCCACACCCACAATTATTTGTGAGCTCCCCCCATCAGTCTTAATCATTGATACTCTAGGTGTGTCCAATGGCTGTGGAACAATCTTAATCGTTCCTGAAAGCAGCTGGAAGGATCTATTAGCTAGTGCCTTGATTCCTTCAGAGGGGTGTATGTAGCTCAATGGGAGGGTGTGTGTTTAGCATGCATGAGGACCTGGGTTCAATTCCCAGGATTAAAACCAAAACCAAGCAAAAACCAAAAAGTCATGGAAAAATATCTCAAAGCCCTTGGTTTCGTTTTTTACTTAAAGCCAAGTTTTCATTTCATAATATTATTCTGGCTTTAAAGGATGAAGATGAGAAAGTTATTATTCCAATGTAGTACTTTGTAGTCCCTCTAAATTCTTTCTACTTAACATCTGACTGATTCTTTGGAGTAACAGCAAGCTGACATTTCCAACATTTCACCTAGACATCTCTTTTCCAAGGCTAAATGTTCTGTGGGTACATTTGCTGGCTTCCAAGTCACCTTCAGGTGGTAACATGGGTCACCATTTTTTTCTACTCTCCTGGCATTTTGGTTTTTGGCTTCCTATAATGGTTTTCTCACCATTTTTCCAGCTTCCTTCCGCAGCCTAGTTCCAATGTTAAATATGTTAGGTTTTTGTTTTGGCACTAATTTCCATCAGTTATCGCTGTGTAAAAAATCAATTTAATCTCAATGCCTTAAAAAATAATTATTTGGCTGGGTAGTCCTGGTCTCCTCTGGGCTCCCTCATATGTCTGAGATAGTCAACAACCCTAAGGTTGAAACTGAATGGCTTCGGTCAGGTCCATTTAGCTACAGAATTTTCATGACAAAGGCAGAGAGCACAAGTGGGAGTAATCCCATTTTGCATCACATTTATGACAATTCCATTGCTAAAGCAAGTCACATTTATGGCCCAGAATCACACAGGGATGGCACAACAGAATTCCATGGCAGGTTATGAGGTTACAGGGACATGTAAAGATTTGGGCTGTTTTCTGCAACCTTCCATACAGGATCAAGTTATGTTTGCTTCCTAAAATAATCAGGAGGTTTTTTTTTCTTTTTTTTTATAGTGTTTTGATCAGTGAAGATTTGGCAGAATTCCCCATTTAACCTCTTTTTTACAGGGTAGTTCTTTGATAATTGTTTCTATTTCCTTTAAGAAAATTAGTCTATTTAAACTTCCTATCTATTGGAATCACTTTAGTATATTGTATTTTCCTAGATCATTATCCATTTAATTTAAGTTGTCATATTTAATTCCATCCAATTGTGAAAAATAATCTTTAAGATTAAATTTTTTTTCACTATTTTTTTCCATGTATTTCTGCATTCTCCCCTTACATTACATAATGGTTTGTCCATGTTTATTATCAAATTTCTATTCATTTATCCTATTTTTTGTTCATTTTCCTAACCTGTGTGTTCTCATCCTTATTTTTTCCTTTTTCACTTGGTTATTCTTCTTTTCCCTTTTGAGTTGGATATCAATTCATTTCACTTTTCATTTTTATCAGTATTCCAATATTATAAGCTATATTTCATTTGCTGCTTTAATTACATAACATCAATTTCATTATTAATCATTTTTCTGAGAAGTTCTGAAATTTTGATTTAGCTTCTTTTTTTTTTTTTCCCCAAGAGTAGTTTAACGGGAAGCTTTTCTCCAGGTAAGACTTTTTTTTAAAAAGTGTTCTATTAATTTCTCATTTCATTGCATTGTGGTTAAAGTTTCTATTACTATTTTGTGCAAGTTGCTGGGGTTTTCTTTATAGTATAATAAATTATCAATTTTGTCAGAATAGATAATATTACCAAGGTGTGAAACTCAATATATATTCAAAAGATCTACTTTATAGAAACTGTTATTTAGATCTCTAATATCCTATGTAGTTCTTGTTGCCTCGACTTCAGTCTTGAATAAGAGTGCTGTGTTAAATTTCTTTATTACTTCTAGCTATTTTTCTTTGCAGTTTGTCGTACAAATGTCATATGCTTTGACAAGCCAGAAGCAACACAACTAGAATAATGAAAAACGAAAGGGAAAGAAAAGTACAAAGAACTCTTTGTTACACAGGCAATAGGTGGGAGTTGAAGAATATCATTCAAAGTTCACAAGCCGAGCAGTTCAGACTATAACATTCATAATTAGTGTATCTTTATTTCGCATTGAATATCATAATGCTCTTCTTTTCCTGAATTTTACCCTGTTAGAAATGAATTGTATGAGAAATTATATCCCATCTGATTCAAATGTACGATATGTCAAGATCATTGTACTGTCATGTGTAACTAATTAAAAACAATTAAAAAAAAAAGAAATGAATTGTAAACCTTGCCTTCTGTGGTTCCTATTTGTCTGGTATGCTATTGCCTATCCTTTTACTTTTTAGCCTTTCTGAATCACTTATTTAGGTTTGCCTCTTGTAAATAACAGACATGCTGGTTTGTAAGTCAATCTGAAATTCTTTTCAATAGGTGGATGAAGTCCACATACATTTATTGATGGGGTTCACATGCTTGGATTTATTATTTACTATGTGAATGATGCTATATTCACTACATTTTCCACTTACTTATTGTCTCTGGGTATTGAGGGAGATTTGCATTTTTATTCTAGTGATGATATTGTTTATACTATACTATTGCCTTCAATAGTATAGTATACTTTAATGCTCTTAATTCCCCTTTCTCCTTACTTAAACCTCAAACCTTTGGTTTGTCAATTTTAAATAATGTTTGACTCCTACATATTGCTTATGTCATGAAGAACTCTTATACTTTCCTTTTTCCCTCTCCCTTCTTTTCCACTTTTCTAGTTGTCTACCTCTGTCAAAGCATGTACCATTTGAAATTATTCTTTCACCCTTAACCCCGCTTGCATTTGGAGGTCAGATCTACAACTAAAGATGTACTTTTGCTCAAGTTTCCCCAATCATTTCCTAGTTGGATGAACCTTCTCTTTCTGTAAAAGTTATAATATTCCCTGAGCTCTTGCATAATTAAAACTTCCTGCTACGTCTTTGGATTTTAAAGGACAGCTTAACTGGATATAAAAATCCATAGTTCATATTTAAAAAAAAAAAACTTTTTGAAATTGTCACTCAATTGCTATTTTGCTTTGTTTAGAAGTCTAACACCAACCTGATCTTCCTCTGTAAGGGACTAGATCTTTGGCCTGGAGAATTTTTCTTTTAGCTTCATAATGTAATAGTTTGCTGCAGTAGGTCTCAGAGTTGATCTTTTGGGGCCAATTTCTACAAGTGACAAGAGTGATCTTTTCAAGATCTAGTTTCAGGGGTAAGAGGTAGCTCAGTCATGGAGCACTTGCTCAGAGTGTTCAGAAGTTTCTTTTGGGAAATTCTAAATATTAACACCATTTCAATTTCTTTTTCTTTTCTTTTTTTTCCTTCAGGAGCTCCAATTTACCCATGCTGTCTCTTCTTTGCCTATCTTCTTCGCATTCCTGCCTTCTTTGAGCCTTACTGTACTACAGCGGTTATCTACTTTCATTTGGATGTGTTGGAATTTAGTCTCCATATTGTCATGACTTTATCTTTTTGTTAAAATTCTTTCCCACGTTCGAAAAGCTTTTTCATTTTGTTTTTGAATTTGTGATTTGTGGTTTTCTTTCACATCCACGAATTTTTAATTGATTTAAAATTTTCTGTTGGAGAGCTGTGTTACAGTTCACTCTGTTTCACGGTCCAAGAGAGCCCTTTTCTATTGATTGATGTAAAATTTCTTTAACAAGCAATATCCAGATGGTGATGAGGGAGTTGTGTTTTCTTCTGTATCTTGGAGTTGCTGTTATCTTTTGATTTTTGCTTCCTTTTCCCCTTTTTACCCACCAACCTCTGAGGGACACCACTCCCTTTCAGCATGGCTTCATCTCTTAATAGAAGTGACACTCTGGTCCTAGTCACAGTCTAAGCACCTCCCTTTTGAGTTTCCACCAGGATTATTCATCCACCAGGTCTCAGACCTGCCTGCAGCATCTTGCCACTCTGGATGAGTCCACAAGTATTTTGGTTTAACTGGAATCAGCAAAGGTCTGTGACAGAAGAAAAATCTGGAGGATTTTAACAGGAGTAAGATCACAAAGGACTTTCTATGGAAGCTTTTGCAAATAATTGATCCAGAAATAGAGAGATTTAAAGTAAAACAGGAGTAGTGGAGAAGAAGGAAGAAGGAATCCAATTTCCATAAAAATATAGAAAGATAACTGAAAGTGAGATCAGTTCTTTACCTGATGAAAATACTCCAAATAAAAAAGAAATCAATGGGAGTTCATAACCCACTTGAATGGGAGTTCATAACCCACTTGAATGGGAGTTCATAACCCACTTGAATCAAAGTGTGAAATATGATATATCAAGAACTATGTAATGTTTTGAACAACCAACAATAAAAATTAAAAAAAAAATTTAAAAAAAAAAAGAAATCAAGAATTTGGAAAATTCTCCCAGAAACATGATAAAATATCTTCAAAAACTGAACTGCAATGAGAAAGAGAAGAGAGCCCTAAAATCCACCACCTGGGAGATGGCCCAACTAGACCCAGAGTCTAGTAGACTCTGGGCAGAACTGAGGGAAGGCATGAGAAGTGTGTCTACCAGGACTATTAGTTCTTTTCAGGTGGGAAATGGTGAATTACACCAGGTGGATGTGGGGAGAAACTGGGTGACCCATAAGGGAGGGACAAGTGCTGTATGCAGAGAAGGGTGAGCATATGAAGGAAGGAGGGTGTGAGACAGGAGAAGTCCTGGGAAGGCACCTGGGAGGGTGAAATGAACAGGGCAGAAACAGCTGGGAGGGCCAGGGTATAGGAGAGAAGTGTCTGTGGGCTCTGGGTGATGGGAGATGATGAACAGCAGGGTCAAGGTATGGGGTGGGGCATCTGTGCTTCGTGAGCATAGTCAGGGCCGGGGTAGGCGAGGGAGAAGGCATTGTTTCTCCCATTCTGCTGATTAAGGTCCCAAGATCAGCTTTCATTCTGCCTTTGAAAATAGAAAGATCACAATTTTTAGTGGATATATTCCAGAGTCGGTGTTATCCTGCATCCTTGAGTGAAAGACAGGAAAGGAGAAATGCTCTCTCGACCTAGGGCGTAGGGCACTATTAGCCCAAATATCTTCAGGAAGATGTGCTGAAGTCAGCTTCAGGATGATCCTGGATGGGCAGGAGCACTCTGAGGAGTCAACATGAGCAGGAAGAGCGGCTCAGAACAGGGAAGACAGTCCCTGTTGTTCAGGGCTGTGTTTCCAAGTGGGATCAGTGAATCTGGGCAGGCAGGGGTGGCAGGGGTGCCTGGGCCTGCAGAATTCATTCCAGAGGCCTTTGGGTCCGGAACAAGACTCTCTGTTCAAGTTTAGCATACCGGGGGAGAAGGGCCTCGTAGACCTACAAGGGCAGAAAGAACAATTTAGGACAGGAGGGGAGGGTGCTCTGACATCTGGTTGCAACTTGCAATTTAAAAAATTTAAATCCTATTAGCTTGCAATTTAGCTTTTTTCCTAGACAAAGGAAAGGAAGCATCAATTCATAAAAGAGGAAATGTTGTCAGTAGGAGCATGGTAGTATGCCTGTAATCACAGTGACTTGGGACCCAGAGTTAGGAGGACCACAAGTTTAAGGCCAGCCTAAGGCAACCAAGGAGACCCTGTCTCAAAAAAAAAAAAAAAATTATAAAAAGAGATGGGGATATGGTTCAGAGGTAGAGCACTTGCCTATCATGTGCAAAGCCCTGGGTTCAATCCCCAATACTGAAGAAAATAAAAAGAACTGCTATTAGTTCTCAAACTTGTATTTTAAGACTTTTTTTTAAACTGTACATTACGATAAGAAACCAATTTTTGTTATCAAATCTACAAAAGTTAAAAAAATTCTGGTGAGGGCAGTTGGGAATGATTGTCTCACTGTATATCTGGTGAAAATTGATGGGACAACCCTTGTGGAAATCAACTTGACTTCATATCTGTATTAAGGGATCCTTAGTCTGTGACCTGGTTGTTATACTACTGTGAAACTCTAGTAAGGAAATAATTCTACATGTAGGGTCTTCAGCCCAGTAGGAGTCCTCTTAGATACCTCTAAACATTCAGACTCATATGATTGCCATGGGCCACACCTTGGCCCTCAGAAGGGTATAGACTGGAGAGATCTTGGCCAGCATTCCTCTTCAATGGGGACCACAGGGTGGTCCATCCAGCATTTCCCACAGTGGTCCAGGAGAGGGTCTTTTTACCTGCCCACCTTTCTCCCTCTTGCCTTCCACATTACAGTTCAGGTACCTTCCAATACCTGCCTCTGAACACAGCTGCATGAGAGCATGATGTTTGAAGCAGCTCTGACATCCTGAGACCACATGGGACACATCTAGAGCTGCACTATCCAAGAGAACAGCCACAAGCCAGTGTGCCTTTGCATACCTGAAGCCTGCCTAGAACTGTAAGATCAAAATACACACCAAATTTCAAAAGCTTCGTACACATACAAAAAAGAATAAAATATCATAATAGTAAATTTTTTCCTTTTTTCCTAACTCTGGAACTGAGAATTGAGCAACAAGGTGCTCTATCATTGAGCTACATTCCTTGTCCTTTTTATTGTATTATTTTGAGACTGGGTCTCACTAAGTTGTCCAGGCTAGTCTTGAATTTATGGTCCTCCTGCTTCAGCTTCCCGAAGAGCTGGGATTAGAGCAACTTGTGTGCACAAGTTGGCTACAGTAGTAATTCTTCTAACTGGTTACATGTTGTCATGGCAATATTTTTGATATGTTGGATTAAATACAATATATTATTGAAATTAATCTTATTTATTTTTACTTTTGAAAAATGAGACTATTGGGAAGTTTTAAATAACACAGGCGGCTCACATTAGGTTCCCTTTGTCCATTGCTGATCTGGGGAACTGCAAGGAACATTACTCAGACTTCTGATGCGGAACCACCAAACCAACACTATCTTCAGAATTCCCATCAGTGTCAGCAATATTTGTGCATTCCAGCTGACAATCTCGCTTCTTTTGCCCCATTTTCTTGATAATTTCAAAACAGGATTTCCTCTTCAGTTGAACACATCAAGTTTAACCTTTTTGGGAAAAAAATACCCTGGTCTGCTTTCACAGTGCAAATGCATGACAAAATATGATGGTGTCTCACCTGAGAAGCTACTGGGCTTGGAGTAGCAGCTAGTCTTGGATTTGGGGCTAACTTCACGACCTCTGAAAAGGGCACGTCTTTTCCACCTGTAGTTCAAGAAGGGAAAGATCATTTCCTGTCTGTGCATGTTGCAAAGGATCACATTGGGGTGACAAAATGTCCTAAATCTAGGGGTTTGGTTCTAAGCCAAGATCATGCTTAGCATGTTCAAGGCCCTGGGTTTGATCCCCAGCATCAAGACAAAATCAAAACATTCTAAAACTGGATTATGGTGATGGTTGCACAAATCAGCAAATTTACTAAAAATATCACTGAGTTGTACACTTAAAATAGGTGACTTTTGTGTCACATACTGTACCTCAATAAATTTGGTTTTTTAGTATTTATTTTTTAGTTATAGGTAGACACAATATCTTTATTTGATTTTTTATGTGGTGCTGAGGATTGAACCCAGTGCCTCACATAGGCTAGACGGGCACTCTACCTCTGAGCTACAACCCCAGCCCCTCAATAAATTTGTTTTTAAAAAAAGAAAAAAAAATTCAAGTCAGACTGCTCTTCAGCAGGGGCCTAGTCTGTCTTGCTTGCTGTAGAGTGGCCTTTCATGGCATGGCCAAGCCAACCCTCAGAAGCAGACAACCTGCCTGTCTTCCCTTGTACTGCTTCACTCTCCCATTGCTCACCATGTTCTGACCACCCTGGTCTTCTTTCCACATGTTTTGCCTTAGAATATTCTTTCCCTCTTCATGTACCTATTTCCTTTTTAGATAATTTGTTCCTAGGAAGCTCACTAGTTCAGGAGGCCTCCCCCAGCCTCCAACCCTGAGCACCATCTACTTTTCCCCATAGCACTTTTTGTAATTTGTTAGGTGATTGTTTGTTTTGTATGGGAATTGAACCCAGGGCCTTGCACTTGTCAGGAAGGCACACTGCCAATAAGCCACATTGCCCTGGGTGATCCTTTGTTTAAAGTCCCTCCTTTGCCAAGCTACAAATTCCAAGAGGCCAGAGACTGCATCTCTCTGAGTCACCACCATACCCATAGCCTAGCACATGGTCTGGCACATAGGAGGCACTCAATCATAGCTCATCAAGCAAATTCATAGCAGAGCTGGAAAGGGGAGAAGGCTGCTACGGGTGGGCAAGAAGCAGTATGGAAATCCTAGGCATTTTAAGCAGGGGTGTCAGATGGCCAGAGTAATGCATCAGCACCCTGAGCAAAGGAGGGTCCCCTGAAGACGTAAGAACCAGTTTTCCCAACTAGGTGCTAGAAAATCTCATGCCAGAGGGGTATGGATGAGGGAGTGGGATGGGTGGTGGGTGGCCAGCTGAGAAACAAATCAAAGACTCTGTTCCTGGCTCCACTCACATTCACAACCCTGCTGCAGGAGAGGTTCATTCCCAGACCAGCCAGGGAGGAGAAAGCTCCAAATAAAGCAGCTAACAGGCCTTGAGGTTGAGCTAGGATTCAGATCAGGCTTTGGTTTTGGAGGGCAGAGCATGGCAACAGACCCAGTCCCCTTCAGCAACTAAAGGAGCATAGAAAGGGAAAATAAAATCAAAACATAGGATAACATAGCAGTAAAGTCCCTAAAGGGTAACTCCTTCCCATTTCTGCAGTAGGAGGAGTATCGTATGGACTCTAGACTTTTCCTTGGCAATGCTGAAGGCCAGATTAGGCAACAGCATTATCAAGGTTCTTGGGAAAAGTACTCTGAACTCAGATTCCTTTACCCAGCATTCTTTGGGACATTGAAACCAAAACTTTGCTGGACATGTCAGGCCTCAAAATTATCACTGGCTGGATTCTATCTTAAAATATTCATTTAGAGGATTGGGTGTGTAGCTCAGTAGCAGAGTACTTGTCTAGCATGCATGAGGCCTTGGGTTTGATCCCCAGAACCACAGTCAATCAATCAATCAATCAATTCATTTCATTTGTCAATAAAACTAGCATAGAAATAGAGATGGATATTGAACCTAGGACCTCACACATTCTAGGCAAGTGCCTCTACCAGTGGCTATACCCAGCCCTTAGCATGATTTTAACCTATTACATCCTATCATTCTATATATAGGATACCTATAAAAACACTTCAGTAGGGCAACAGTTATACCACCTATGGTCACTTTGAACATTTTCCTAGCATGTGCAAATCCCTGGGTTTGATCCCCAGTGCCAACACACACACACACACACACACACACACACACACACACACTATAAAACAAACAAACAAAATTAGTAGAGACAAAAGAAAATACAGAGAGTTGAAAGAAAGGAAGAAAGACTCATAGTTAAGTGCAAATAAGAGCTAATATGATGTAAAATATAATTAAAAATACAACAATCTGGAAATAAAACCCCTAGTGATCTTGATATAAGAGGTGGGTTGAGGAAGATGAGGCAAAGGGAGAGGAATAAAGAAGGTTAATTGTTGAGGAAATATCTGTGATTTATTCTCAACATTAAAAGAAAACTATAAGTCTGAATAAGTATGTTGAAGAGTTGTGAGCAAGCATGCAAAAGACTGGAAGCACTAGAGAGGGAAGGGACAAAGCCCTGGAGGTACACAGCAGCCAGAAGCTCCCTCAGCAGGCAGGAAACAGGGAAAACTGGTCCAAACTGAGGGAGACCGCCCTTGCGGGCAAGAGCTGCTCCCTCCAGAACTCTCCTGGATGAGGATGCTATCTGGAGGTTTTGAGGGCCTCAATCATAGCATACACGGAGCTGTCCAGGGTGCTGGAATGCTTGGTTCTGAAGCCTCCACTATTGTCTCAATGTCCTGCTCTTGCTGAACGTAGGGCTCAGCTTTATCCACCTCTCCTGCCCACCATCTGTCCAGACCCAGGCCCATGTCCACTCAAGCATGTCCTGTGCCCTATTCCAGTGTCCCTCTGCAGAGCCAGATTATCACAGAGGACTCATTCAGAGGTGTCCCAGAGCACCCCATGGGACAAAGCTAAAGCAGACTCCAGCCCAGATCTCTACATCCTGTCTCGATTTTAAGAAGAGAATAAAGGAACGAAGGGCACAGGTTGGTCCTTGTTTGCTGGGAGAGATAAAGATGAAGCTAAAGTCCCCAAGTTCCCCAAAGTGGGAACACCTTACTTTCCCTTCCCACCCTCCTCAGCCCAGACAGTGCCAGAATGCTTCCAGAGACTCCTATCCCTCATTCATCAACCTACCATGAAAAGCTCGGTATGCAGAGCCCACACAGGCTGAGTTGGCAGTGTCTATGACATACACCGGGGTGCCAAATACATCTGCAAGCACCTGGGAAGGACACAGAGTTTTTATGGTGGTGAGTCATTCCTCAGAGGACACAAGGACATTTTGGAATAAATTTCCAGACTCTCCTTGTGGTGGTGCATGCCTGTGATCCCAGCTCCTGAGGCTAGGGCAGGAGGATTACAAGTTCAAGCCAACCTCAGCAACTTAGGGAGACCCTAAGCAACTTAGCAAGACCCTATCTCAAAATAAAAATATAAAAAGGGCTGGGGATGTGACTCAGTAGCTAAGCACCCTTGGGTTCAACCCCAAGTACCAAAAGAAGAAGAAATACACATAGCCACGCTGCCCCGGGGATAACAGAGGAAGGGTGACCTAGGGGAAGTCCCTAGTGGAGGGCAACAGCTCTCCAGGCTATCCCTGTACTTTTAAACCATTTTAACAAGACAAAGCAGGAGATTTAGGAGGCATGATTACTAAATGCCACTGACAGCTAGGAAAGAGACTAATGTTAACAAGCACAAACTAACAAGGGAACTTTATTTATTTATTATTTTTGGTATAGGGGATTGGGCCCAGGAATACTTTACCACTGAGCTACATATTCAGTCCTTTTTATTTTTCATTTTGAGACAGTTTCTGAGGGTCACTAAGTTTCTGAGGGTCTAAGTTGCCAAGGCTGGCCTCAAACTTGTGATCTTCCTACCTCAGTGAGCCAAGGATTAAACTGGGATTATAGGCATGCAGCCAAGGACACATTTTATAAGGATCATGATGAAGCTCTTCATTTAGGTACAGAAATTAAATTGCATAAATTTAGAATGGAGGAACTGTCTTAAGACGATTTCACATGGAAAAGACTGGAGGGAAGGTCTTATAATTGCCCAGAGGTATTGTAGTAGATGCCACTGGCACCCCATCAGGATTCTCTTCACTGGATCATGTGTATCCCCCACCCAGCTGCTGAGTATTGGAAGCTAAGGGCTCACAGTACTTCTTGAGAACAAATTTTGGCTGAACAGAGGCCACCTCTCAAGGATTATGCTCAACCCTCTCCAAGGCAGTTAGTTAGCCCTACTGCCCAAGGCAGAACTAGCTCAGTAGTTAATTCATGCTCCAGAGCACCCCAGAGGACAAAGCTAAAGCAGACTCCAGATCATATCCTTGCTTATTCTTTTTCCCCAACCCTGTCCCGAGTTCCATACTCCCTTCTTGTTGGGAGTACTGTCAATAAACAACTTATAGAAGAATCCTCACTTCAGGCTCTGCTCCTAGATAATCTTACCTAAGACAGGTATGCCAGAATGCAGCAGTTGAGGTCATTACTCAAATAGCTAAGGCAACCACAGGCTAAACCCCAAAATGTACAGTGTCCCCTTAGGAGGAGCTAATGGCTGTACAATGTGATAGCCTGAGTGTCAGACATGTGTAGATTGATTTTACTTTGGGTCATATATTTCTAGCATAATGGAGGACCAGAGGGATAGAGACAAAGCCTGGAAACTGTGTTACAAGAGGAATGGTTGGAAAGTCAGAGAGTTAAATTGGAAGGGAGAAACATTAAGGAACAAGAACACTGTCTTAGATGTCAGAAGGCTCACACAGGGGAAGGACAGGCACTTCCCATGGGCTTCCAGAGGCCACTGCTGCTATCAGAGAGTGGACTATAAAAGACCGAAGAATTCACCTGGATGTAAGATGGAACCCACTCACAGTGGGAGCTATAAGGCCAAAGAGCTAGCTTCTGAGAGCGTTGAGTATGGGCTCCCCATTCCTGCAGGTGTGGAAACAGAGGCAGCCCTTCCTGTTGGCTCTTAGACATGACAGACATGGAAGGGGCCATGGCATGGGGTCCACTACCAGCACCTACCTGTAAGATGTCTCTATTGTGAGATGCCCCTCCTGTGGCCAGAATCTTTGTCTTGGGCACTGCAAGGAAAAAAAAAAGTGTAATGGCTGTGACAATTCCCCCACGGCAGAGAGGGCTGTTTTCCAGAGTTCTTCAGTCACTGAGTGATTGTGAGGGAGCAATGCCTCTTGTAATATCCATGACCAGGAAGAGAACCAAAGCTGATTCTGTCTACGTAGGCCTGTCACATGTAATTTGTTAGGGAGACTGCTGTCCATCCACCTTTATTGTCTTACATTTTCATTATTTTTTTTAAACCTCTCAAAAAACCAAGAATAGAAAGAAATTTCCTTAGATGATTAAAAGACTGTACAAGACAGAAGAATTCACCAAAATTTGCAACAAACACCATTCTTAACATAAAGGTTAAGAAGTATTATCTTTAAGACTGATATGCCAGCCAGACTCCAAAATGACCTCCAAATGACCCATGCCTCCCAATATCCATGTTCTCATGTAACCTCCTCACACATTCAACAGGGCTAACTCATGTAACCAACAGGACTTGTGTGCGTGACAGGGTAGGTATGAACTCCAAAGATATTGCAGCTTCCATCTTGCTCTGATGTAGATCATTCTCTCTTGGATTACTCAATTCAAGAGAAGCTAACTGCCATGTCATGAAGATACTCAAGCAGCCCCATGGAGAAGTCTCCATGGTAAGGAACCAAGGTCTTCTGCCAACAGCCATGTGAATATACCATCTTAGAAGCAGATCCTCTAGGCTTTATGGAGTCCTCAGAAGACTCAAGCCCTGGAAGATGGCTCAACTGCAAACTCAAGACAGACTCTCAGTAAGAACCACTAGGCAGAGCCAGGCTCAGTGGTATGCACCTGTAGTCCCAGCTACCTGGGATGCTCTGTTATGTGCCTATAGTCCCAGCTACTTGGGATGCTGAAACAGGAGGATCCCTTGAGCCCAGGATTTAGAGGTTATCCTGGGCAACATAAGAAGACACCTTTACAAAAAAATGAACAAAAAGAACCACTTGGGTTATGCTGACTCAAATTCTTGATCCAAGGGAATTGTGTAAGATAATAAAGGCTGATTATTGTTTTAAGGGGCTAAATTTTGAGTTAATTTGTTAAAAAGCAATAGATAAATGATAGAATTCAGAAAAAAAGCAAAGATCCATAGTATGTAGTATTTAACATAGTAAGTGGCATACTCATCAATGCCATAAGAATTTCTGCAAATCAATTTTTAAAAAGGCAATTCAACAGAAAAATGGGAAAGGATATAAAAAATCGGTTCAAAGAGGAAGAAACTAAAGTTACTCAAAGCTGTTCAAACTCATTAATGAAAGAAACATCGATTATACTAACACTGAGATATCTGTTTAGACCCACCCATCAGATGGGCAACAAATTTAAAGGTGGTTAATGCTAAGTGTTGGTGGTGATGAAACCCCTTCTCTCCATTCCTTGTCCCTGGTCTGACCTCAAGTGAAAAGTGAAGTCTTTAGGGTGCAGTGGACAGAGAAGTAGAACCTGAAGTAACACCAAACTCCCATGGCAGACGGACAGATAGACATGGACAGATAGATGTGGCTGCACTTATTTACTAGAAAAAGAAGCTGGGCTCATCTTTTAACCAGAATAATATCCTGCTCATTTTGGCATTTGAAGACATTGTAGGGAAGACTCCAGCTTGACAGCATTTACAAGGCTCAAAGGCATCAAGTTAAATCTATCTTTTCACTGTTGTGTGGAAATGAAATGTCCCCCAAGCTCTGGTGTTGAAGGCTCGGTTCCCAATGCAGGAGTGTTCAGAAGTGGGGCCTCTGGGGGGTGATAGGATCACGAGGGTTCTAACCTCATAAATGAACTAATCTACTGACAGATTCATAGCTTAATGGGCTACTGGGAGGTGGTGGGAACCTTAGGAGGTAGGGCCTATTGGAGGAAGTAGGTCACTGGGGTATCCCCTTCAAGGGTAGATTTTGTTCCCAGCCCCTTTCTTTATGATCTCAGCCACCATGAGGTGAATAGCTTTGCTCCACATGTATTCCTTGCTATGACGTTCTGCTTTATTACAGGCCCAGAAACAACAGAGCCAAGTGAACATGAACTGAATGAAATCTCTGAGACTGTGAGCCAGTATAAACCTTTCTTCCTTTCAAATTGTTTCTGTCAGGTATTTTGCCATAGTGACAGAAAGTTAACACATTCACCCAAATACATAGCCTGTCTAGGTATCTCTTGTATTTGGGCAGGGAGGAAGGTCCACTAGGAGAAGAGACCTTGCTCCTGAAAAGGAAACCTAAGCTTCCTGTTTCCACTAAGAGATGTGATTCATTTAGCACCAAGAACGCCCAGTCACTCTGTTCTTGAAAAAAAAAAATACAACCACAACAATAGCAAGAAAGAGAAGGATCGACGTGAATAAACAGAGTACTCTAGAAATAAGGGAATAACTCAAGGAATTAAAAAAGCCAATTTGAAATAAATCCTAATATGAATCTTCAGAAATATTTGAAGGAATATAACGTTCCAAAACCAAGGATCTAACACTATAAGAAAGAACCAGGAGACAAGAAAGAGTCCTAGAAATTAAAAAATAATGTATGGTTACAAAAATAAAAAACTAAATGGAAAGGCTAAATAATAAACACAACACGGCAAAGTCAAATTTAATAACCTGAAGGATACCAATCAGGGAATTTCTTAAAACTAGAGTGGTAAACAGAGACAGAAAAAAATTAGACAAGACATAGCACAGAAAATGTGGCAGGTTCAACTTGTTTTATCCTTATATCAGCCCTATAACCTTCATTAATCCAAGGAGCTCTGGCTCCTTGGGTGGAGAAAGGTGTTCAAATTCGTTCTCTGGATGTTCTTTGCTACTGGGATTATGTTGCTCCCAGCCTCTTTCAGTGAGCTGAGCTAAGAAATATAGGGTGCAGACACACTTTCTCTCTCATCCTGCCCCTACAAACTAAAGAAATGGGGAATATATCAAGAGAGCAAAGGGCTAGTTTTAAAGAACATTCATTAGAACAGAAAAAGATGAAAATTACTCTTTTTAGAAATGGAAAAAAAAAGAAAAGAAAAGAAATGCAAAACTGAACACACAACATGTTATGGAATTTTTTTTTTTTGTACCAGGAAGTGAACCTAGAGGCATTTAACCAGTGAGCCACATCCTTAGTCCTTTAAAAAAATATTTTATTTAGAGACAGGGTCTTGCTAAGTTGCTTAGGGCCTCACTAAGTTGCTGAGGCTGGCTTTGACCTGGAAATCCTCCTGCCGCAGCCTCCCAAGCCACTGGGATTACAGGCATGCCGCCACCAGGCCCAGCTAACATCTAGCCTTTTGAAATGCATTAATCAAAAGACAATACAAAATAGGAATAAAAATATTAAAATATAGAAAAGGAAAAGGACTCAAATGACATAGAAGGAAGAAATATAAAAAGATAAAAGTTGGGCTGGGTCTCCCCAGTCAGAATGCCTATTATGGAGAATACAAATAACATGTTGAGGTGGGGCACCCCTGTATGTAATTCAAGGTACTCAGGAGGCTGAGCAGGAAGAAGGCAAGGTCAAGACAGCTCAAGACCCTGTATCAAAATAGAAAATAAAAAGGGCTGGAGAGGTACATCAGCAGTAAAGCACCCTGGGTTCAATCCCCAATACTGGGGGGAAAAAAAAAAGAATACAAGTAACAATAAATGCTGCAAGCACCTTTTAAACATTGTTGGTGGGAACATAAATTAGTATAGCCACCATGGGAATTGGTTCCTTAAAAAATTAAAAATAGAACTACCACATATTCAGCTATACCACTCCTGGGTATATAGCTTAAGGAATTAAAGTCAATATACTAGCTGGGCACAGTAGCACACACCTGTAATCTACTTAGGAGAGTGAGGAAAGAGGATCGCAAGTTTGAGGCCAGCCTTGGCAACTTAGTGCGACCCTGTGTCATTTTTTTTTTTAAAAATTAAATTTAAAAAAGAGCTGTGGGAGCTAGAATTGTGGCCCAGTGGTAGAGCACTTGCCTAGCATGTGTGAGGCACTGGGTTTGAACCTTAGCATCACATAAAAAATAAACAAACAAAATAAAGATATTGTGTCCATCTACAAGAAATCTTTAAAGAAAAATGTAGCTTAGTAGTAGAATGCCCCTGGTTCAATCTCCAGTACCACACATATACAAAAAAGTCAGTATGCTATAAAGATACCCACATACTCATGTTTATTATAATTCACCATAGGCAAGTTATAGAATCAGCCTAGGTGTCCATCAACAGATAAATGGATTTTAAAAATGTGGTATACGTACATAATAGAGTATTATTGACCTATAAGAACAAAATCCTGTCATTTTCAGGAAAGTAAATGGAGCTACAGAATATGTTAAGTGAAAGAAGTCAGAGTTAGACAATTATTTCGTGTTTTCTCTCATATGTGGAATCTAGGGGGAAAAGATGATATAAAATTAGAAGAAAGACTATTAAAAAAAAGGAAAAGGATAGAGGAGATCAGAGCGTTTGGTGATGGGGAGTGGAAATAATCAAAATGTCATACACATGTATGAATATGCCACAATGAAACCCATTATTCTATGTATTTAATATGCTCTAATAAAAAAGAGTAGGGCTGAGTGTAGCTCCGTGGTAAAGTGCTTGCCTAGCATGTGCAAGGTCCTGGGCTTGATCAAAAAAATAAAAGAGTGACAGAGAGAGAGAGAGGTTTTATTTGAGAATAAGCTCAGCTGGAAAGAGGTTTGATTCTGATTTTAAGTTTGCTAAGGGGATAAATATCTCTATGCTGTTTTGTACAAAAAATGTTCTGTGTGTATGTGTGTGTGTGTGTTTCTGGGGTTTGAACTCAGGAGTGCTCTACCACTGAACTACATCCCCAGCCCTTTTTATTTTATTATGAGACAGGGTCTTGCTAAGTTGCTGAGGCTGGCCTTGCACTTGTGATCCTCCTGTCTCAGCCTCCCCAGGTGCTGGGATCACAGGGAGGTACCACCAAGCCTGGCTTCATTCTCTTTTCTGAAAGATAACTACTAATTACCCTGACTTCCAACAACAGCAAATAGTTTTGTCTGTCTTGAGTCTGATGTACACAGAACGCTGCCATTTATACTCTAGTGAATGCCGTCTTCTACTCAGTGCTACTTTTGCAAGATTTACCCATTTAGTTGTATGTAGCTGAAGCTGGTTCATTTACATTTCTGCTTAGCATCGTGTTGCATGAATAGGCCACAATGCATTCATCCTGTCTACTGTGGATGGGCACTGGACTGCTTCCACCATGGGGCTATTAAGCACATCATGATAAAGGTTCTCATGAACCTCTAAAGAACATGTGTATACATTTCAATTGTGCATTTACATAGAAGTAAGATTGCTGGGAAAGTGGATATCCAGCTTTAGCAGATGCTGTCTAACAGGTTTTCCAAGAGGTTTATCCAGTGCTTATTTTTATAGCATCCTTTTACAGGGTTGGTTCAAAGACATAATAAAGCATATCCTACACAGAACATGAACTGCCCATAAAAGGCTCCTAAGGGAGCCCTCAAGCAAAGTGGCTTCAGAGGTTTTTGACCTTCTCCAGTGACAACAGTTGTTTCTCAGAGGGACAAATACATCTCGGAAACCTGAATTCTATGGTCATCCAGTCTCGTTTCCTCTCAGAACCTCAGACCATTTCAATACCATCAGTAAAGGGAACCCACTGATCTTCTGGAGTCACCTACTCCACAGTTCCAGTTCTCATGAATCCCTTTCTCTTCCTGGTTGCCTCCCTCTGAGCCCTGGATCTGCCCTCTTCATGTCAGTCCTCTGAGTTTTGATGGTGGTACTGAATCCCCACTTGTCCTGGCCCAAGCGGAAAGTCCCAGTCATGACCCAAAGTAGAGCCTGCCACTTGCACTGCCCATGTCCCTAGGATCCAGAGCTCAGGATATCTGGTCTGTGGCTAGGTACTCGGGATCCTTTTTGAGTCCTGTGATTCCTGGCTAAGAAAGCAGGTTCCTGGGGAAACAGCTGAGAAGCAGGCTAACTGCCTCCTCTTCCACACCTGCCCACAGAGGCAGGCAGACTCACTTTATCACACCCCCCCACCACAACAGGGTCAGGCTCCACCACCCTCCTGTGTGAGGCCCCCTGTAACAGACTTAGACACTGTCCTGCCTGTCCTGGCCTGAGGTGTGACTGGGCCCTGGGCCCCTACTCTAGCACATACCCTGCCAGCAGTTCACTTACTGACTCGGTAGCCCAGGCCTTCTGCATGAATCCTCTTGGCCATGAATTGTCCTTCGATCAGTGCTCGAATCTCCACATCTCTGGGGAATGCTGGGACCTGATTCCAGGAGAAGGTAGGCACACAGTGAGGAACTCCCAACGCCCATTGGTGTGCAGGTGTGCATGTGTGTGTGTATGTGTGTGAGAGAGAGAGAGATCTTTTTCAACAACACACCAGAATTAGAGTAGCTGGTCTCTTCAACCACTAACTTCACCTGTCACATGCACAAACAAAAAGAAACAGAGAGTGAGAGAGACACGCGCATCTCACGTGTGTAACACTTTAGGGAGTCAGAGGCCTCACAGAGCTCAGTCTCAGGCAGCCAAGGGTTAAAGTCTGACTCCACCAGTCAGTTCTGTGATCTTGATTTGTTTCCATCTTGCTGAATGTCATTCTCTTTCTTAACAAGACTGAGGTAAGAGTGGCACCTGTTTTTTTTAGGCTTATTATAATGACCATATTAAATGACAGCCTGATAGATGTAGTTAATACTTGATAGGTGACAGCCATGAGCTTATGCTGAAAGACCACGGCTGTGGAGCTGAGGGGCATTGGTCAAGCTAATACTGATGGGTGTCACCCCCAAGCTCTACCCTGTCTTTCTAGGACCTGAGACCAAGAATAGAACCTGCAGCCTCCCTCCCTCACCAATTACTATACTCTAGCCTAAACACCTACTTCCAGTTCCCCAATTGCTCCCTCCTTGGAAGCTTACTCCAGCCCACAGTGAGAGCCTCCCCATCCTTCAGGTCTTAGCCTAAGGGCCCTTTTTCAGAGAGGGCCACTCGGATCACACCACATGGGCAAGCCCCAGCCCACCTCCTGCTCTCTCCTGCATCACCCCTGGAGTGGTGTATGTTTTCCTTTACCTGCTTACTGTCCACCTCCTTTCTAGACTGTGGACTCCACAGAGCCAGGACCACCTGTGTCTTGCCCTCCTTTGTGTCCCTAGCGCCTGACACCAATCAGACATGTCTGCTACCTTCTCCTTGCCAAAGCTGGGACTGACATGTCTAAGAGAGCAGACCTATCTTCTCTCTCTCTCTCTCTCTGAACAGAAACCAAACTGATCACATCAGAGGACCAAGAGGAACTCCCTTCATTTCATATAAAGTCACTATGGTTTGGATCATAAAGGTCATGTGCTAACAGCTTGGTCCCCAGCTGACGGCACTGTTGGAAGGTGGTAGAAACTTTAGGAAATGAGGCCTAGTTAGAGGAAGTAGGTGGTGGTGGAGAAATGCCTTTGAAGGGTTTATTTTTTTCCTCACCCCACCCCCTGCTTCCAGGTCACCACAAGATAAGCAGCTTTACTATATCATGCCTTCCCTGCCAGAATGTTCTGCCTCACCAAAGGCCCACAGTCAACCAAGCCAAGTGACCATGGGCCAAAACCTCTGAAACAGTGAGCCATAATAAATTTTTCCTTCTTTAAATTGTTTTTCTCATGTATTTTGTTACAGTGGTGGAGAGTTCATTAATTTGAAAGCTTTCCATTTAAACCAAATATATTATGCCACTGTCAGCCATTTTTCCAATACCAACCTGTTACAATGATTAAATAGTGTCTTAAAGAGGTTCATCCACATTCAACGGGATCACAGCAACTCTCAGATCCAACCCCATATGGGATAATGACTATTGGGTAACTATCAGAAAAGTCAATCCAAACCCACTGACTAAATCCCGCCTGGGAGAGGCCATGTGGTGAAGGAAAAAGAGAACAGTGGCTTCTGAGGCAGAGAGAATTGGGACTGTGCCTCCTGCATTCACTGTCACTTTGTGACTTTGGGCAGGTTAAGGCTAAGCCTCAATTTCTCCATCTGTAAAGAGGAATAATCATGCCTACCTCCTGGAATTGCTTTAAGAAGTAAATGAAAGATTCAGAAAACCACAAACACAGTGCCTGGAACCAAATAGTGCTCAATAAATGGTAGTATCTCCCATCCCATAGGTTTTTTTCTACAAGGAAGCAATTTTTGACCTTAAAATCTATGAGCCATGGGTAGGTTTAGGGTATGGCTCAACAAAGAAACAAGCGCTATGACACTCAGTAGCAGTGTTAGGAGCAAGTGTTAGCTCAGAGAACACTCAGGTTTCCCATGCTCCTCCTTGGGGGAAAGGGTGGTGCTGTCTTAGACCCTGCTGCCTCCCCCCCTCGAGAAGGTGGGCTACACGTGCAAAATTTCTGTTTCACCAGTGGATGGGGGGAAAAGAAGTCCCTAAAAGTAGCACAAGTTGACAGGCAACTGTTAAATTTAACACTCAGAACTGGAATCAATGCAGCTAATAACATACCTACCTCATGGTTTTCTGCATTAAACCTATGACGCCCAATAATTTCAGGGGTGATCTCCATTACATCAAAATAAAAACCTGAAACAAAACCAGGAAGAGATTAGCTGTCAGGCATCAAAAACAAAGATTAGCTTCTCAACAGACTTAGAAAAGGGCAAGGTGAAATGACCCGTATCCATGTCCACAGATGAGCCTTGGGAATATTTTCAGTTCCTTCTTTCCGTCAGAACAAAAGGAGACCCAGAAAGGCCCAAGACAGGTTTTCCTAGAAGTGACTTCCTACTCCCTCCTGGCAGCCCATTTAAAGAAATGGCTACCCAACCCTCCTGAAATACCAACAGAGGTTTCACCAAGGGAGGCACATCCTCTCCCTGCTCAGAGGCCTGCCCAGGTGCTGGGTACCTTTCCTAATAGAACCTTGAGTCCACGCAGAAAGCTGTGTATGGGGAAGCACCAGGGTAGGGGAGATATTATGGATGACATTTCTGATCCTGTCACCGGGGGCTTCAAGGAGGTCACAAGAGGCAGCTATGGCCTGACCTCCACCGAGTACACTGGGCAGTGGACAACTGCTATCAGGGCCCCACTCTCACTCAGAACATGGGATAACACATCAGCTTGTGAGGTCTATGGAGTAGAAGTACAGACAAACAGGACTCCCCTGGACTTCTCCATGGGCCTCCTCTCCCCCAACTCCTGGGGCTCCAGACCCTACCCCTCCAGCAAACAGCTACGGCCCGTTAGTAGGCCCAGGCATCACTAAACAGCCTACCCAGGTTTCCGCCGTTCCCCATCTCTGTGGACTGCAGTGCCTTAGAGAACTCACTCCAGGAACAGGAAGCACATTCATTGCGGATCTTCTCTCTCATGAGGGAGCCATTTTTAAAGCTGCAGAAGTGTACACAACTCTGAGCACTGGACCCATGGGTTTTGGAAGAGTCTCAGGCAGAGAGCCTGCGGGTGAGGCTGGACCATAGCCTACAGGGAACCAGAACCTCCAATGTCTGAGGCTCTGACCCAAGTTCCAGGATCCTGGCACATCCCTAAGAGGAGTTGGAATCACTTATCTCAGGCTGTTTACACAGGAGGCTGCCACAAAGGAGCCCAGGCAGAGTCAGGGAGCTGGGGTATCTATACAACAGGGTGGGGTTGATAGGCTGACTAACCTACAAATCCTCCATAGATCTTGGGGCTTAGCTTCCTAAGGTTTCCAAAGGCTTATGGTCAGATCACAGAGCCCAGGCCTTCTGTGAGAATGGTCAGGAAGCAGTATGTCCCTCTCACTATTTGATGAGGGTCTACCATGAGCTAGGCACACCACAACACTATCAAGTCAACAATCTTATTCTCTCCATTTTATGATGAAGGTATGGCTGAGATGTGCTATGGGGTTTGCCCAGCATCACACAGGATATATAAGTGGTAGGGTCAGAATTTGAACTTAGGTTTGGAGGACCCCAGGTCTTAGGCTTTTCCCCACCTAACTCAGATGTTGGCAAGAGCAGATAGGTCCCGGGGGTCTCAGTTGCCCATCTGAGCCTGCTTAGTGGAATGACTTGAGGTGCCCAAGATGTGCCAGATCTGCCCATCCCTCCTTGGCCTCACCCCAGGGAATGGTAACAACCCACACCCAGGCTTACCACAAGAGTGCCATGTAGTGCTGAGGGTCAACTGGATTGCAGAAGATGTGGCCTTCTAGGGCAGGTGTGGGCTCCTGGAGCCAGAGAAATAGGGTGTCGCTGGTGCCCAGACTGACCTGGGGCAAGAAGGGCAGAGTGAGGGGCTTGGGGCTTTGCTTGCAAATGCTTCTTTTCTGCCAGTGATGTACTTTGCACTTCTCCCATCTTGACTGCATCACTTCACTCCTCGTATTGCAGGCCTCACTTGAGATGAAATGCTACTTCCTCAGACACCTCGTCTGACCCTCCCATACCAGACGAGTCAAAAGTCAGCTCCCCAGATCCAGGCTCTTGTGGACCTCCTTTACTAACTTTCTAGAACTTACCATAACTGCATCAAAATAATGGTGTAGGTGGTTACTTTTCCCAAATGACTTCTTTGCTAGATGCAGGAAGGCATGAGTTACATCCTCCTCTTCACCCGGGGAGCTCTCAGCCCTCATGTCTGACCCTTGGCCACTTTGCCCACCAGACTGGTCACCACTGAGCAGGCAGGGTTTTGTCTACTCAGTAAAGAGTGATGACCTTCTAAGGAAGGAGATGTAGCACCCCCCATACCCTTTAAGGAACAGAAGACCCTCTAATAGATAGTAAAGATGCTAAGACCCAGTACCCTGGTCCCCAGGGCAGAAAGAGCCTGTGGGAATGAGAAGTCACCTTACCGCAATGTCACCTTCCTCCAGCCTCATGCCTGCCAGTGACGCTGAGAATGGGAGGGGAGCCTCTGGTTAGCTGGAGGCCACACAGGAACCACGAAGCAAACCACAGTGCCCCCCAGACAACAGCACAGGCCCCTATCTCCCACTCCAACACAGGAGCAGGGCAAGCTGATGGCTCAGAGGCCCAAGAGAAGGTTGCAGGGGTCAAAGGGTAGAGTCTCTGTGGTCATGAACTCTGATCTGGGCTAGGAAGTCTCTTCCCTAAAGGGGTTCAAACTCCACACCACTGTCAGGCACTCTAAGGAGTGCTGAGAACCAAAGGGGCCAGGACGAGACACCAAGAATACACAGCAGAGAAAGATGAAAGCAAGGCAGAGTGTGGACAGGAAGGGACCAAGGTTGTGCAGATTGTCCCCACCTTAGATGGGAGGACCACAATAGCAATCCTTATCTGCATGTTTGCTGGTGTACCCCAGTACTAAAAGAAGACCTGGTATATAAGCAGGTGCTCACTAAATGCTCAGTGAAGGGACAAATGGCTGAACAAGAAGTGGGGGGAAGAACAGGCACATTCAAGCTCTTCCAGTGAGATGCAGTCGGCAGTGGCTGCCAGAAGCCTTGGACCCAGGAATACCACCTCTGAGAACTGATCCTGTAGTGACAAAGGGACAGGGCAGATCGTGCATCTCAGGCTGTCTACACTGCCCAAGCATTAGAAGAACACCAACCTCCATCCACAGGGGATCAATGAAATAAATTCTGGGACAGCTGAACCTTGGACCACCAGGAAAATGAGGTTGCCCAGGTTGATGAGAAAAAACAAAAAACCAACAACAACAACAACAAATAAACACCGCTGCTTATTTATGAGCATAGGAAGAAACTGGAAGGGGAGGCATCACAATCTTAACCCTAATTTGGTATTTGGTGGCACTTCAGGAAGGGGCTGCTTTACCTAGGGTGGGGCTGAGGGCCAGTGGTCAAGGTGCTACTCAGTGTGGCTCACCTGGTCTTTATCCAGGAACCTCAGAAGCCCCTTTGAGGAAAAGCAGAGAGGCCATGGAAGGAGACAAAGTGTCCAGGTGAGAAATGAGTCATTTATAGATCAAATGACCTGGCAGAGACTCAAAACCTGGTCCTAGAGGAGGGGAAGAGAGAGCTGAGGCATTAGCTTGGAATGAAAAGAGGCTGGGGGTGAGGGGGCACAATGACCTTCTTTCATCACCCCTCACCTGGAGGGAGCAGACGGACTGGCAAAGCAGTTCTTGAGGGTAGTCAGGACCCAACTGGGGCAGGGACAAGGAGGCAGGTTTTGAAAATCAAAAGGGACAGCACAGAAGGGCTTTTACCAAGAGACTGAACTGGAATTCTCAGAAGTGTAGCATAGACCCTACAGGTCCAGCTGGAGAGGGAAATCCTCCAAAGCACTCACCTGGATTGTCACCAGTGAAGGCCACTACTTTGCATCCTGGAGGAAATCCATAGCGCTGGACATAGTAGGAAGAAATGGCTCCCTGAGGAGAAAAAGCATGTGTGCTCTGTTGAGATAAATCCCGCCTACTCAGCACAGCTGTCCACATCTCAGGCCATGAGAATGTTCCGGGGCTCTGGGTTGCTGGAGCTGAAGGAATCTTCTGCAAAGCCTGGGGGTGTATCACTCCCTGTCACAAACCAGGCACGTCCTTTCTATTCACAAATCGCTGGAGGAGCCTAATGCAGGTTTGAAACCACAAGCATCAGGACCGACAGAAGACCATTTATTGGATTTTGAGAATCAGGGCAGTTAGAACAAAACAATCCCCAACTTGTACCTGCTTTGTAAGCTCCAAAGTCTGGATAGAGCATACAAAAAAAGTAACACAGCACCAGTTTAAAAAAAAAAAAAAACTCATGGAAGTTGACAGTACCTTACATACTTACTTATGATCCCAGCCACTGGATTATCAATAATCAGATATGCTAGTGCAGAGAACAATGTTCTAAAGAAAATAAACTAAAAAATGGCAGTGGTGGGGGAGGGGACCCATCCAGGAACCACAAGACACTATGGGATAAGAGCATAGGATAACCCCCAACAGACGTATATGCTTGAGAAAGCAGTTATAAAATACAGAACATGTCCTCCATTCTTTGACTATATTGTAGTTTCAAAAGTTTAAAATAAATGAAGATTTCCTGGTGTCTGGGAAGAAAATTTTGCTCCAGCCAGAAAAATTTTAGATGCCCATCAGAACAAGCTAATACCTGGGAAAACTGATATCTCTATTCAGAATGCCTCCGAAACCAGAGCCTGAGACAGGGCTGCATGCAGGTGGTTTGTTTGGGGATGTGATCCCAGGAGGCAGGAGTGGGGACTAGAAAAGACAAACAGGGAAGGAGGGAAAGTTGGCCCAAGAATCATCACTGTGGGCAACTGAGGCTCAGGCCACAGAGGAACCTCCGAGAGCTGGAAATGGACCTGAGGAATGGCCTCCTGGGGACAGAGAGGGAGGAGCGGTTAACCATCCACAAGGCTCCCTCACCTCACTCATGACAGGCGTCCTATGGGGTGTTAACATCTTGCACCTCCAAGTTCCCAGAACACAAACACAATCAGAGAAGCCCCAGAATGGAAAGTGAGGAGATACAGCTCAGGTAGGGGGCAGCAGGGGACACCTGTATTGAAGCCATAATGGCTTCCCCCATCGTGTGATATCTGACAAATGAAAATGCATCTTTTCAAAAATCAGTTCTCACTGCTTATCTCTGTACAGGCTCCTTCTTGGAGTCACTCATTCCTGGTTCACAGCAAACAAAGCCTGCTTCCCTGGACAAAATGCTGCTCTCCATTTCACCTTAAACTAAAAGCCACGCATGGGATGGATGGCAACCCCGGGGATGAGGCTGCTTTGTCCTTCTGACATGCATGACCTATCTAGCTGGGTCTCGCACCATTGGCTCCTCTGGGGCGGGCTGGTTTTTCCTTCAGTCCTGTGCACTGGCCTCCATGGCACACTTTGTGTTTTAGGGGTTTGGCTGTGACATCCTGCCCCATAACGGTAAAGGTGATTTTCATCATGTCAGTGAGAATCCTCCAAAAAAAAAAAAAGGGCTTCTGTGGTTGAAAGTCCCAGTGGAGAATACTTCCCCGAACTCCATCTTCCTGGTGGCCTGTCCCTCTAAGCTCCATGATTCTCTGCAGGCTTCAGGGCTACTTCTCCTCCCTTCACACCCAACACTCTCACATGGAGTTCTTCCTGGTTATTCTGGCCATGTGCCATGTGCACCCCATCAGAGGACCCCAAGGGCACCTCCCAGGACTTTTTCTACTCCGTTATCCTCCCGGGACAGCCAAGAACAGGGCCAGCCAACCAGGGCCCACCAGGATGTTCAACTGGGTGGTACCACACTGACGATCAAGTCTTTTTTTTTTTACCCATGTTACCAAGCACCATCTTGAGCACTTTAAATATATCATAATTCATCTGATTTTCACAGTAGCTCCATAAGAAAAACAGTATTCTTCCCATTGTTCCAGATGAGGAAACTAAGGCACAGATTAAACAGAAGCAGTTCGTGGTAGATCTAGAACTCAGTCCAAGCAGTCTATGCACATCCGGGTTCCCTGGCATTTCTATTTCCCCACAAGCCTGCCTGCTTCAAGCCTCAGTAGTAGTCCCAGTCCTAGAATTCCAGCAGTCTGCATTTTTTTCCTCAGGTATGCAATCACCCTGAAACTCACCCCTGCTATGAGCCAGCAATCTATACATGCCCCTGAGTCCTGCTATGTGCAAGGTGCTGATCCAGGTACTTTACTTTGACGTACATCAAATTCTTGTCTTAGACTAAACTGAAAGCCTCATGTGTCCACGCCTGTGAGTAAAATGATGAATGGGTGTGCCTGCACAGATGTCAGTGCTTCCCTGTAGCTGCCAGCTCTTACAGGAGCCCCGATGAATAGGTAGGTTAGTCAGACAGTAAGCTACAAGCAGACAGTTATAGCAACAGGCTCCCAAAAGATTTCTCTAAGTAAATGCAAAGTGCGCACTACTGCATATAAACGGATGGCTCTGTCTAAACATTCCAAGCCTTATTATCACCCCAAATCCTTTGACTCAAGAGAAGTAAGAAAAGGGAAGGTGGAACAGCTCTGTGTGGAAACAGATAATTTCAAACTCAAGGGCTAAAAGGGAACAAATCATCAGAATGTCACAGGTCTGACCCATGAACAAGTCACCTTCCTGATAACCTAATTATCATAAAAGGACCAATAGGTTTGGCATTCTTTTGGTACCTGATTAGCATAAACATTTGAGCAACATCCCTACCCAGCAGTTATATAAGCCCCTAGATTGGTACACTTTGGTGGCAATCCTCTATTAGGATCTCTCTCACTCAGCGAGAGCTGTCCCCTTGGTCCCTCCTTTGTCCGTGAATTTCATTCTTCCAAGTTTGTGAGAAAAGCACCTGAGAAGGAATTGCTGATGGTTTGCTATTAACTATAACACTGTAGAGCTAAAGAAAAAAGAACACAAATGGGGATTGTAATGGCAGAAAATCCAATTTAACTGTAGTTACAAAAGGGGGCACCTACCACAACTGAGCATGATGGTACCGGTGCTCCGAGCTTCTCCTCTAAATGAGGGGCACAGGCACCAAGGCAAGTCTGGGACCAGACTTTGTCTTGGATCTGTAACAGATTCATTCCAGAACCTGAAAAAGGAAGGAAACAGACAAACAAACAACAACAACAACAACAAAATAGAAACCTGTGAGAAAAGAACCTTTGGTGAAAATTGGCAAAAAGCAGATAATTATCTTACAGCCAACTGGTGCCTGGGCCTCTTAATTCATAGAACGTCTGCAACATACCACACTGTTCTTGAACCAGAGAACCAGAGGACAGCAGGATTCCTGGAGCACATGGAGCATCCCTTCCTCTAAATGTCCTCACAGATCAAACACCACAGGCAGCCTGGAAATCTGTTGCTCCACATATTACTTGGGTTTCTTTTTTTTAATATTTATTTTTTTGTTGGACACAATATCATCTTTATTTATTTATTTATTTAATGTGGTGCTGAGGATTGAACCCAGGGCCTCGAACATGCTACGCGAGTGCTCTACCACTGAGTCACAACCTCAGCCCTATTTCTTGGGTTTCAAGGTACCCCCTCAAAGGCAGCCCCAGAGCTGGTATGGATCTGCCCACATGGATTTTACAAGTTCATGGACTTTTTTTTTTTTTTTTTTTTGGTACCGGGATTGAACTCAGGGGCACTCAACCACTGATCCAAAATCCCCAGCCCTATTTTGTATTTTATTTAGAGACAGGGTCTCACTGAGTTGCTCGATACTTTGCTTTTTGCTGGCTTTGAGGGGGCACCTCATTCTACTGGGATTGGTCAGTGTGAACAGCAGAATGAGGCAAAAGCAATGGCTTGTTGCTTCCAAAATTTCCAAGAAAAAGACTATGCAGTTTCTGCTTGACCTCCTCTTTTTATTCCTTTCTTTCTCTTCCTCTCTAATGTCACTAATAGTCCTCCAGAGGAGACACATTGTGAGGAACTATGGCCCCCTGTCAACAGTCCTGTGCAAGATCCTGGAAGGCTCAATCCTGTAGTTAAGCTTTCAAATGACTACCTCCCTGGCTGCCAATTTGCCTGACACCTTGAGAGAGATCCTGAGCCAGAATCATCCAGCTAAGCCACTCCCACATTCCTGACCCTCAGGCACTATGTGAGAAAATAAATACTTATGGTCTTCAGCTATAAATGTTAGGGTCATTTGTTACACAGCAAAGAAAACTAATACACTCCCTTCTTGCCCAATGATGAGAGCTGCAAGATGAGCATCCACCCAGGGTGGATGGGGCTCTTACTGCCTGCATACCCATATGCCCACAAGCACCCAGTCAGAACTCCTAAGGCTTACCATCACTGTAGTCAATGGGGGAGTAAGAACCAAGGAATAGGGAAGCAGCAAAGCTACTGACCAAAGAAATTCTCTGAAAAAGAAACAGTAAAAGATTACTCGCTTCCACATACCTTAAGTTACTGAATACTTCTGACACAACAGGAAGAGAGTTTTAAATTGGGAAGGGAAGTGGAAACTTTGAGCAAAATCCAAGCAAACAGTGGAAACTGAGTATCCCAGATAAGAGCAGCTGGAATTCCAAGAACTGACTCCTGGGGAGAGCACTCACTGTCTGCAATTTCTGACAGGCCATGGAACTGTCAAGATCAATGAAAACACAAACTAAAAGCCCGTGAAAAATCTGTGCATAGAGAAGCTGATTTTCCATATAGAATCCATGGGCTGGGAAACATGTGCCCTGACTTCCTCCTCCACAGGGAAGAGGATGTGACCACAGGACTCAGAATGAACCAAGATACTCCTGGGGGTTTGGGATATGTTTAAATAAAAGCTGGTCCCCTAAGAACCCAGACCTTAAAATCATGTGATAGATGGAATCACTGACAGAACTTAAAATGTCAGCCTGAGGAATCCACATGAGCATTATGGGCTCCAGGACTAGTGGACAGAATGCTGCCACCTCCTGTCCCCATCAGGCCACCTTTATTCCACACACAGAGTTTGGGGAGGCAATCCCCCATGGCTAATGCAACAGAGTAACCTAGACCTTCAAATCATTCAATAATAAACTGCGTGTGAATTTCCAAGATTAAAAGGGTACTTTGAGTTTATTGTGAGATGGTCATCTTCTTATTGCAAGGAAAAAATCAACAGCTAGGGTGTGGAGCTGCTTCTTGGGTAGCATTAAGTGCTGGCTTTTGGAAATTGGGCTACCAGGAAGGATCTGGCAACCTGTGATACAGGTTGAAGGACCACAGCTAGAGACACAAAGCTCCAGCCCCACCTGTCTACAGAGAAGACCCTGACCCATGCCAATCAAGTGCCCACCAGCCATGCCATCCTGCATCAACCATACAGGAAAGTGAATGGACAGAGAGCCCCAAGGCACCCAGATCTCCTACTCAGGTGGTCTCAGAAAGACCCAAATTCCCACCACTTCTTCCCTGCCCCTGCCCCGGACTCCTTCTGGTCATGAGAGCCCCTGACTTCTTTTTCTCACAAGGCTGTTGTTTTTGGCAACAGTCTGACAATGAGGGAAAAAAGCAAGTTGAATACAGTCATGCACTGCTTAATAACAGGGATATGGTTTAAGAAAATGTCATTAGGCAATTTTATCATTGTGCGAACACCATGCAGGATATTTACACAAACCAAGCATACTACATACCCAGGATAGATGGTGGAGCCTACTGCTTGCTTCTAGGCTACAAATCTATACAGCATGTCACCATACTGAATACTGTAGGCAATAGTAACACAATGGTAAATATTTGTGTATCTAAATGTATCTTCTTTTTTGGGTACTGGGGATTGGACCTAGAGGCACTTTATCACTGAGCCATATCCCAGCCCTTTGGAAAGGGTCTTATTAAGTGGTTGGGGCCTCACTAAGTTGTTGAGGCTGGCAATCCTCCTAAGTTGAGATCCTCCTGCCTTAGCCTCCTTAGTTGTTGGGACTACGGGTATATGCTACCACATCTGACTTCTAAACATATCTTAACATAGAAAAGGTACAAATAATTTTTTTTGCCTTTATGTTCTTATATAAGCATAGTTTTGGTATCTTCAGAATAACCAATACCAGAAACTCAAAAAATAAAAATAAAAAAATAAAAACACTTTTAAGAGACTAGAAGCATAGCAGTTTTATTTACAGCATCATTGTCACAAACACATGAGAATTCTCTGCAAAGTTAAGACAGCTATAATGTCACTAGACAATAGGAGGTGTTCAGCTCACTGTAATCTTTTTTTTTCCCCCCACAGTACTAGGGAATGAACCCAGGGCCTTGCACATGCTATGCAAGCACTCTACCACTGAACTACATCCCCAGCCCTATTTATTTTTTACTTTGAGACAGAGTCCTGCTAAGTTGCCTAGGCTGGCCTCAAGTTTGTCACCCTCCTGCCTCAGCCTTCTGAGTATCTGTGACTTTCAATCAAACATGAATATTGAACCAACCTCTGTGCGTGAGTAGGCCTCAGGGTTCTGCTGGTATATCTTTGCAATTTGGTTTCCTGTAAAACGCTGAAAAAAGAGTGCAACTTCTTAGAAATCAAAATCCTACACAGAATAAATAACTCCATAAAGAGAGTTTAACATAGCATGCACTGAATATTTGGTGGTAAAATAAAAACTTTTAAAAGGCCCCTAATCTGGAAATGCTTAGTTTCTGCTGAACAATCACACTGTGTATTTTAGCCTTTGGATCCTTAAAATGTTCTAGGGTAATCAAATACTCTGGCAATAAACAATCCCCCTGTACCCAAAGGACACAGAAGTAACTTCTGGGCCTTCTGGGAGGGCCTCTCACTTGTCAGGACTGGACAAGCCTTCATGAACTGAGGCACTTTTATGCAGATATTCTCTGCATCCGACTTCCTCTTGTTTCAGGTGGCCTAAGTTGGGTTGATCCCCTAAACCTCGATTCCAGTGAGGTCACATGATCCATGGTGGCCAATCACATGATCCCTGGGGCTGGGGCTGAAGTCAGCCAGGCACTGCACAGTCTTATGTTCTCTGACTCTTTTCCACTACAATGGTGCGCTGGGGTTGTAGCTCAGTGGTAGAGCATTTGCCTAGCATGTGTGAGGCACTGGGTTCAATCCCCAGCACCACATAAAAATAAATAAAGAAAATAAAGATATTGTGTCCATCTACCACCAAAAAAAAAATAAATAAAAATAAAAAATACAATGGAAGTGCAATTGCTATGTCCAGGTTTCAGAGAATGAGACTGAGGTTGCCATGATCATACCATGTACAGTAGTAGCTTGATGTGAGTAGCTTACCTCGGTTCACTTCACATCCCAGCCTGACCCGGGAACTCATGGGAAGAGGCTGCCCTGGCCTGGTACGTGCCCAGGGAAGCAGGACAACCTGGATCAGGAGGCCGGGACACCATGTCCCATTCTGGCTCCCTTGGGTAGCACCAGCAACACTTCACATGATTCCCACAGAGACTGGGTACCACTCCACCCTCCTAGACACCCATTTTTAGAGAAAAGATCTGCCCTATTCCCCAACCCATTGTGGGGGCTGCCCACCTCATAGGCGCGGGACCCTGTGAGGCAGCTGAGAGACTGGGCCCCACCCACGGCGGCCTCTAGCTGGCGGCACTGGGCTGTGGTGCTGGAGTCCATCCACACTGGGCAGTCGCTGATGGAGAAGCAAGTCTGGAAAGAAGCACAAAGGTGCAGATTGAGCTCCATGGTTGACTCAAAGAGCAGGTATAGCACTTCTTCCCAGGATGTGCCCTTGGGAGACCCATCAATGGCAACCCTTTGGCCTGGCCCCGGGGGGTCTCTCCCTGAAGGCCTAAAGGCAAAGGCTCTTCCAGGGAGGGCACCTGAGCACAGCAGACAACACTAGAGACTACCAGAGAAGAGCTACAGCTCTAGTCAGGTGCAGATTTTTCAGGGACTTCTGGAACTCAGGAGAAAGGGGGAAGGCAGAGCCCCTGACTTCACAGCATGCACCAAGGGGAGATTCTCGAGAGGCATGCAGAGGATGGCTCAAAGTCATTTTGGGAGGAAGGGACTTATGTGATGCAGGTCATTAGCACCTGACCCCCTGCCGAGACAGTGGGGAAACTCCACCTGGGGAGGCAGGACAGACCACCCACAGAACTGCTGCTGAAGCCAACTCCTTATATTCTCAACAATGCATAGAGCCCCAGACTTCTAGGCCACAGGAGTTGGGGCTCTTCTGCCCTCTCTGTTGAAGTTTCTCAGACTCACAGACATGGTCACAGTTACCTTCAGCTGCTGGTGTAATGGGAGGTCTGGTGACAGTGCCGTCAGTGTCAAGCTGGCCCCAGTCTTCCAGTATATGCTTCCATGTTGCTGTTGAAGGGAAACCCAAGCACATGCTCATGTGATCACACAGTGGTATCACAGCCTCCTGGAGACACAGAAAGTCCCAGGCCACACACCAAAGAACTGGGCTCCAAGCCTGTCTCTGCAAAGTCTTAGTTAAAGATCTCATCACCTTTATGAGATTTGGTTTTCATTTCAATAAAATGGAAAGAACTCTGCCCTGTCACACCAAAACTTATAGTAAGGTTCCAAGAAAGAATTACTCTTCTGTATCTTGGTGCCTGTTGTAAAACTGTATTTAAATGTACTGATTGCAACATTACCTAAAATTCACTCGTCCTACTCATTCAATCAATTGAGCCCCTAGATCACACCAGACATAGGATAGATGAAAAGGATATTTTTGACTCTATTTCTCAGGATATTGGAGTTAAGTCAGGGGAAAAGATACAAATGTACAATCACAAAACCCTGTGGAGTTGCAGCGACAGGGCTGTGAGAACACACAGAACCCAACCAGGTTGGAGTATAGATAAGTCAAGTGGGTACTGAGTGTTAGGACACAGTTAGATGTATGGGTGCTCCACAGAGAAAGCATCCGCAGGTGAGAGCCAGCCTGACAGGTCTGGTGAAGGGTGGCATTCTAAGCAATGGGCCTTTTGCTAGAGCAGGACCTAGGCAATGGGATGGAGGGAGAGGAGGCGGCCTGAGCACCAAGGATCTTGAAAATCAGGCTTAGGAGACTGGGATCATCTTGAAGGTGGTAGGAGCCATGGTCTGGAGGGGAGTGCTGTGGCCAGGGCTGAGCGTATAAAAGGGCTCATGGGAGTCAGGGAAAAGTAGGAAGAAGGCAGAGGAGCTGCAGCAGAGGCTTAGAGGGAAGTAACAGATACCTGGCCTGGGACAACAGAGACAGTGCTGGCAGAGACATGGTAGATTCAAGAGTTTCTTACAACTTGGATGTGGAGTGGGAAGATGGAGTAGTAAGGATGACACATGGCTTGTACTCCTAGACAAGGAGTACAAGAGGACAATGAGAATTCCCTGAGAAAGGGAATCTGAAGAGAAGGAGGTATGGGGTGAAGACAGAGTACCCAGTCTAGGACATTCTATTTGAGGCACTTGTAGGGTTCCTAGTCATGGGGACTGGAGACATTATGGTTTAGAAACAATGCAAGAATTTCCAAAGGTGAAATGATTATGAGCACTGGGACCTAATCAGTGACTTAATCCACAGATAGGTGTTAACTGGGCAGTAACTATAGGTAGGCAGGCTGTGGCTGGAGGAGGCAGGTCACTGAGGGTTTATATGTTGTCCCTGGAGAGCAGAGCTCTCTGCTTCCTGCCTGCCACGTCCTGAACTGCTTTCTTCTGCCATGCTCTTCCGCCATGATATTCTGCATCACCTTGGGCCCAGAGCTAGGGGACTGAGACCCCTGAAACCGTGAGCCCCAAATAAACTTTCCCTTCTCTATGTTGTTCTTGTCAGGTCTTTTAATCACACTGATAAAAAAGTTGACTAAAACAGATGTCTAGGAAGGCAACAGGTGCCCAGGCCTGGGGTCCAGGTGAGAGAAATGGATTCCCAAGTAATCCTTTTAGTTTAATGAGAATAAGAACAATAAATTCCTATTAGGTCAGGGGTAAAGCAAAAGGCCTCTTTAGAAGTCCATCTAATGAGAAGGTAAAAACCTAGTGACCCAGTGAGAAGTGAAGGGACTCCAGCATAGCACAGGGACTAGAGGATGAGACTGGAGGTGGTACTGACTTCCCTTTCTAGCAGCTACATGAGCTTGGGCAGGTGATATCATTTCTGTGTGCTTCAATGTCCTTAGGTAAATGTCAATAATAATAAAAACCATAGATAACATTAAATAAGGTTTATTATGTCCCAGTATTCTCTATAAAATAATGTTCACATAACTCTATGACAGATGAGAATCTGGAGGCACTTAGAAGGCCTGTGACATTCCCCAGGTCACAGCTTATAAACGACAAAGTTGGGCATGCCCAGAGCTCTTACGCTGATCAACATAACCAGTACCCTCTTAGAATTGCTATAGGGTCTAAGATAATGGACATGAACTCCTCAGTGCAATCCCTGGCCATATTAAAGGTTCAGTCAGCATTCTTTGATATTATTATGACTATGACTCCTACTACTAAAATTACTGCCATCATTAGTATCATTTCTTATCTGGCTTTTACTTCCAGGAAACAGAAAAGCAATTTCAGTGCCCCCAAATAGTCATAATAAATTCATGTTGAATGTTCCATCCTCTTTAGAGGACCTCTATTTGGTTCGCTCACCAAATGTCCTATTTTACATGCTGCTTCATCATAAGAACTGTCCCAGATCCTTGTTCGATAAAGTAAGTCATATGGTCTCTAAGGTGAAATAGCTGGAGGCACTTTCACTAACAACAAATGTGTGTCCCAAAAGGAGCCATCACCTTCTCACCCAGGCCATTGTCTCCAACAGCCACCCTCAGAGGACCGACATGGCTATTACACACAAACCTGGCCTGCCCCAGACAAGGCTAGGACTTGAGAGAAGTCAAAACCCGAAGCCTTCATCTTCTCCAAAATGATGTCCAGAGCCTGAGAAGAAGAACAGAATCCACCGTGACTACACTGAACTACTGAATTGGGTAAGCCACAGCCTCAAAATGGAAATGCAGTGCTTGCCATTACAGCAAGGGCTCTGGGCAGAGGAAGAAGGTCCTAAAGACAGGATCTGTAAGCACTAGAATATGTTAATTAAACAAGTAGGCATCAATCAAATAAAAAGGTCAACTATGCTAAAAATGTTTAAAATAAATAGATTCACAAATCACAAGTCTTTAAAGTTTGTTCTTCAATTTGGGACTTCCAAGCACTCAGGAGAAGCAAAACAAAACAGCCTAAATTTAGGTTTCTTTTTAACCCACCATATTAATGATCTGACTTAACAGAGAAATGAAGAACAAAGCAGGGGGAGAGCTCTTCCGTCAAAGGAGGGCTCCAGGCCCAAACTCTTTGTGTCTAGGAGCCCAAAGTTGAGGATGTGGGTAGAGATGGTGGCCATTTGTCACAAGTCCCCGGTCCACCCTCCAATATCTGGTTGCAATTATCTTTCCAGCAAGACACCATGGGTGGGGTGAATGGTGCGACCAACAGACCTTGACACTACCCCTAAGATTTCACAGCAGGAAGTACAGATTCACCTCAGCCTGTGTCTTCCCTGAGGACAGAGAAATCACTCCAGCTTTTGCTTGATCCTGCTGTCCCTGCATCATGCTAGGAGGGCTCCCTCCAGCCCTGACTATGCTGCCAGCTGCCTCCCTGCTTGTCAAACCTTAGGCAGGGTCTAACAAATTAGGAACAGTTCCAGAAATCACCCTGACCCCCCACCGAAGCCTGGATCTTTCTTCTGTGCTTGCCTCCCCAATGAAGGCCTTTGTATATCAGATGCCATTAATGTCATTTCTGAGACCTCTTAACAGTAAAGCTTGCCTCTAACTCCCTGAATCCCCACCTTGGCTCAGCTCTCTGAAATACATTCCAGCTCTTCTATTAGATTAAAATCTATCCTTTACCCAATTCTCCAGTATATGAGTCATGGTCAGATTGATAAAAAAGAACTTATACTAGTTACTTTTATCAGGAAGAATTTAATACAGGAATTGGTTAACAGGTATCGGAGGACTCAAAAAAGCTTTTGACAGATACACCAAATGCTGCCTGTTTGGCCTCTAGTTTCAGAGACTCTGGTCTCCATGGGACGTGAGGCAGTCCAAGCCCTATCATGCCTATCTGTGCTGTCTACATCCCTGGTCCTGGAGCCCCATGGGTCACTAGTTCCAGCCACAGGCATCTTCCTTTCTTGTTAGTCCTAAGCAGGCAGGCCCATTTGGGACTGATCTGAGCATGATTGGTCAGGCTCTAAGTTACCAGTGTGAATGCCCACGCCCTGAAGCTGAAGGGTCCAGGGGGATAAGCATAACATTCCAAGGGCTGTTTGGAATTCAAGGTAGAAGACAGACCACAGCACCTGACTGATACTTCCAAGTATCTTGGAAGGCTTTCTCTGTGGTATTTTAAAGATGGCACTGGTGAGCTCAGAGTGGTGGCACAAGCCTATTATTCCAGCTTCTCAGAAGGCTGAAGCAAGAAAAATCACAAGTTCCAGACCGGCTTGGGAATAATGAGACCCTGTCTCAAATTTTGAAAAAAGTCTGGGGGTTTAACTTTGTATAGAGTGCTTGTCTAGCATGAATGAGGCCCTGGGTTCCATCACCAGTACCAAAAACAAAAACCAACAAATAAATATGGTACTAGCAGAACTTGGCAGCTGTGTGACTCTGGTACCTGGAAGTCCTTTGTGAGTCCTCTCACAAAGGCTAAGGCTGAACCTGCCCTAGGAACCAAACAGACTCCCTTAAACCATGAGGACCTGGTCTCAATAGATGCTCTCATGAGCTTCCACCTTGGGGCTTCCTAGTAAATCACTAAGACTATCAGTGAGACAGGCTAGGGACAGAAGGAAAGGATGCCTGTGCTTACCTGGATCCACATCAGGACTGGAGAGGTGACTGTCAGCCTGTCCTTGTGCACATGAACACCACCCTGAGTCCTGCAGGGAGAAAGAGATAGAATGTTGGCTGGAGCCTCAGGGCAGGCTGACCACAGTGAAGCCAGCCTGGGGTAGCAGATGCTAGAAACTGGCTGATGAACAACCCCCCCCCCCCCCCCCCGTCCCCGCCAGCTTTAAGTGGAACTCTGAGAGGGAAAGATGGAGAGAGAAGGCATGGAGTCACCCAAGGTGGCCCAGAGGTGGCAATTCTTAGAAAGGATCTTCTAGGCATGAGGGTCTGGCCAGGGGAGGCATGGTGCACATGCCAGGAAGGAACTGGGAGAATGTGGGGATGAACTAAAAGCCCTCTGAAACCTCATGAGTTTGGAGAAGTCAGGGACAGCTGTTATACAGAGATGCTACATCTGCAGGAAGTTCTCACCTATCACAGCAGCTCCGGAGTGGTGGAGGGGTAGGTATGTGTATGCACGCACAGTACTGGGGTTTGAACCTGAGGATGCTCTACTGCTATGCTACATCTCTAGTCCTTTTTTATTTTTTGAGACAAGGTCTTGCTAAATTGCTAAAGCTATCCTTGAACTTTGGATCCTCCTGTCTCAGCCTCCCAAATAGCTGGGATTACAGGTGAGTGCCACTGTGCTCCCTTACCAGGAATTCCTTGAACTGGAAGCCCTGGAAGTTTCCTGGAACCTTCTCCTCATCTTCATCCTTATCTCACCCCTAAAGGACCTTCCTGCAAAGAGCTGGTTTAATAAAATCCAACACTTACAACTATAAATTAATATTTTAAAATAGGTTCATAATCCACACCATCTATTAGATATCTTGTGATCTAACCATTCTATCCCTAATAGCTAAGAGAAAGGAAAGTATAAGTCCACAGAACTATTCACACAAGGCCAGGTGTGGTAATGCATGCCTATAATCCAAGCTCTGTCTTCTGGAGACAGGAGGACTACAAGTTTGATGCCAAAAAAGGGAGAGAGGGATGTAGTGCCTTGAAAGCACTAAGCTCACTTAGCTTACAATTCTGTTGGTCAGACATTGGGCTGGGCTCAGCTGGGCTCACTGGTGCATCTGTGGTCAGCTAACAGTAGCTAGAGGGCTCTGCTGCTAGCTGGCTGGCTCTTGGCTGAGGAAGAGGGCAAGGAGGTGACATGTCTCTTATTCTCCAGCAGGCTAGCCTGATCTTGTTCAGGTGACACTGAGCAGGATTCTAAGAATAAAAGCAGAAGTGTGCAAGGCCTCTAGAAGCTTAGGCTGAGAACAGGGACAGTGTCAACAGCTGAGGAAGTAACTCCTTCTCTCAAGTACTTAGCATGTACAAGATCCTAAATTTGATCCTCAGCACCAAAAGGAAAAAAGAGAGAGAGAGAGAGAGAGAGAGAGAAAGTTCCTACACAAACACACAGGCATACTTTTTATCTCTCACATGATATTCTGTGCCACCTCAGGACTCTGAAAACAAGAAGGATATCACCAGATGTGGCCCTTAGATTTCTGCCAGAACCATAAGCCAGAATAAACTTTTTTTTTCTTTATAACTTACTCAGTCTGTGGCATTATGTCATCAGCAACAGAAAATGGACTGATAACAACCAGCACAGTGTCTGTTACAAAGCAGATTTCAAATGACACTTAAGACATGTAGGAATGAATGAGCAAATGGATGAATAGCATTGGGAAGAAATGGAGAAGAAAGTATTCCAGGTATAGAGAAAAAAGATACTCAGAGATCTGTCAAGATCACCATTCCTAAAATTTTACAAAACCATAACACCGTGGTTCATGAATGTAAATTTTGGAAGAAACCCAAAGCCACTGGCCCCCCAACACACACACACACACAGGTACATACCCAAATTCTGGAAGGTCTCTGTCAAAATGCACACTGTCCTCATAAAAGACATTCAGCTCTGCATCAATAGCAACAACTTTCACCTGGAAGGCATTTAAAAAAAAATAGCATAGAGTTTTCCTCAGCTTCTATATTGGCCCAGGAGTTAGTAACATCACTAGGCAAGGTTCAGCCTAAACACCCCCTGGGAGGCTAGGGTATATCACGGTAGCCATGGCAACAAAGGCTTCATCTGGGGACATATCCAAAGATTTAATAAAATGAAGAACCTGAATCGTGGCTCCCCAAACAGCCAAAAGCCAAGACCCTCTAAAGGTAACCAGTACAGATGAGCTGGTTCCAGTGCCTGGCAAGGAATGGAGGCAAAGGGGCAGGTGTCACTCATGTCTGCAGAGGTCTGAGATACCAGGCAAGGCCCATGGGCTGGTCTCAACAACCATGATCATGATCTAGACACATTTAATGTCCCGATGAAGCATATTTCCAAGCTCGGGAATTTAGTTCCTTTCCTGGACAGATGGGGAAACTGAAGCCTAGCAAGGCAACTGGAGTCCCACAGGACATTCCCCTTAGAGCTATCTGAGGCCTGCTCCCTTGGCCCATCTAAAGACTGGGGGTTTTGACTGTATTTATCCCCCAGTACTTATAAAGAGGAGTCCCATGGGCATCCCATGCTCAGTTTGATGGCACATTTTAATTCTGCTCGCCTGTCTGCAGGACTTGAAAGCAGCACAGACCTCCTCTGGCCAGTAGTCCTGGGTCCACAGACCCAAGCACACTGGTGCATCCAAGGGCGGCCAAAGGGAGGGGCAAAGTCCATTTGTACATTGTGCCCATTTCAAGAAAGAAAAAAGAATGGGGGTAGGCGGTTGGAAGGGTGATCCATTTCAGGTCACTGGTTATACACGTAGCACGCACGTCTACCAGTCTGTTGGCTTCTCTGCCTCACTGATTTGAATGTCTTGGAGTCCCTACTACTCAGTGCCCAGGTCAGCAGGCGAACCGCCCCTCTCTGGACACGTCCCTGCTACGTGCCAGTTGGGTCCCGCCGGGGGGCGCCCGCCGTTTCCGGAAAGGCTGGAGTCTAGAGCGCACCTCTCCGGCAGGGCATCGCCCCGCAGCCACGCACCAGGAAGGGGCGCTTGAGCCCCGGGAAGCTCGAAAAGTGCGGCGCACCCGCTGCTCGGCCCAGGGATCCCAGGGCCCGGAGCCAGCAAGCCCGCGCGGCGTAGCAGAGGCGATGGCCCCGCCCCGCAGGCAGTGGGGTCCTGCGACCGTACCTGCTGCGTGCTGAAGTCCCAGCCTAGGCAGCAGCTACGAGTGACGTGCTCCCCCATGTCCCTGAAAGGTCCGGCTGAGCGATCGTCCGTGAGTCCGTCCCGCGGCGTGACTGTGACCGCGCTCCAACGCCCAGGCTCCCGGCCCGCCCCTCGCCCCGCCCGGCGGGACTGTGGACCGGAGTCACGAGGCGGGCTTGAGCTCTGGCGCCGCCTGCGGGGGGACAAGAGCTGGGACCGCGTCCGGCCTGGGCCTCTGGCTTCGCACCTGTGCAATAGACCGGCCACCTGAGCAGCCCACTTCCCTCCCAGATTCATGGGGATGCCATCCTCACCTGCTGTCAACACCAGCCTGCCCTAACGCGCCCGGCTTGCCCCGAGGACTCCTGACCCAGAGGTTTCACCTTTAACCTAATTTGTCCCTGCCTGGCCCTCTGGTGGCCCAGGTTCTGAGAATCCTCCAGAGCTGTCTCTTGGGTACTGGAGCAGCTGTTCAACCATGGTGGTGACTGAGGAGTCCCAGGAAATGTGTCCTGGAGTTAGAGGCTCTATGTCCTGACAGGTTCTGTCCAGACTCAGCTCATCAGAGTGTTTCCCCATTGGGTCACATCGCATTCTCTATTTAAAATCAGAGCTCATGATGCCACCACGGATGGGGCTCATTCATTCCTGTTGCCAGCTGGTATTGATGGTCCAATGTGTGCCGGGCATGTTGAAGAGAGACAAGAACCAAAATCAGACCCATTGCCTTCAGAGAGCTAAAGTACCTTCTTGTTCCAAAGACCAACTTCTTTCTAGAAGCCCTTCAAAACACTCACCTGTTTGAAACCCTTCCCAGGTCTCCAGAGCCCCTGTCCCACACTTGCAATGATGTGTTCGCTGTCTCTCTTACTGGCTGAATTTGAACTGCTTAGCACCCAAATGGAATCCTCCTCCTTAAAGGAACAGGAAGGTACCAACGTACCTGACCTCCAAGATGTTCACTGCTTGTTGGGGGGCACAGGCCCTCCAGTGGTCACCACTTGCTATGTCAATAGCCAAATACTGGACTCTGGTTAGGAGCAATGATGTGACCTGCTAAGCATATTTCATCCTCACAGTGATGCTGGGAGTTAGATAGCATTAACTCCATTTTTTTTTAGTTTTTAAAAATGTAAATTTATTTTATTTATTTTGTATTTATATATGACAGCAGAATGCATTACAATTCTTATTACACATATAGAACACAATTTTTCATATCTCTAGTTGTATACAAAGTATATTCACACCAATTCGTCTCTTCACACCTGTACTTTGGATAATAATGATCATCATATCCCACCATCATTAGTAACCCCATGCCGCCTCACTTCCCCTTCCACCCCTCTGCCCTATTTAGAGTTCATCTATTCCTCCCATGTTGTCTCTCCCTATCCCACTATGAATCAGCCTCTTCATATATAAAAAAAAATTCAGTATTTGTTTTTTTGGGATTGGCTAACTTCACTCAGCATTATATTATCTAACTCCATCTATTTACCTGCAAATGCCATGATTTTATTCTCTTTTATTGCTGAGAAATATTCCATTGTGTATATATGCCACATTTTTTTTATCCATTCATCTACTAAAGGGCATCTAGGTTGGTTCCACAATTTAGCTATTGTGAATTGTGCTGCTATAAACAATGATGTGGCTTTGTCCCTGTAGAATGCTGTTTTTAAGTCCTTTGGGTATAGACCGAGGAGAGGGATAGCTGGGTCAAGTGGTGGTTCCATTCCCAATTTCCCAAGAAATCTCCACACTGCTTTCCATATTGGCTGCACCAATTTGTAGTACCACAACAGTGTATGGCATTAACTCCATTTTTTAAACTTTCTAATTAAAGTATAAAATAGAGTAAAGGTTATAAAGTACACTAATCTTGACTCTTAAAAATCTATTATAGCTAGATGCAGTGGCACATGCCTGTAGTCTCAACAACTCAAGAGGTTGAAGCAGGAGGATCACTGAGTCCAGGATTTCAAGGCCACCTGGAAAACAAAGGGAGAACCTGTCTTAAAAATATTAAATTAAATTAAAAATAGGGCTGGGGATATAGCTCTGTGGTAGATCTTGCCTATGTGCAAGATCCCTGGGTTTGATCCACAGCACTGCAATCAATCAATAAATTGATAAAAATAAAATATGTATACACCCAAATAAACAGCACCAAGATCAAGGCATAGAAAATGTCCAGTATTCCAGAAGTTTCCTTCATGACCTTTCCCAATCAATAACCCTCAAGATAATTGCTATTCTGGTATCTACCAATAGATATTCAGTGTGAACTCCAAATAAATTATGATCCTCATTTTACAGAATGAGAAACTGAGGTATAGACAAGTTTATTGACTTGGCCCAGATCCCAAGATCAATGGCGGATCTGGGCCTGAAGCTGTGAAACCTGCCTCTAGAATCCACGTTTGACAACTAAATAAGTAATTAGGCTGCAGCCATTCACTAGGCAGCCTTATGGGAAGACTCAGCAATCTATGAATGTTTCTGAAATGCCAAGGCTACTGGCTTTCCCCAGCTGCCTCACAGAAAGACCTTGTCTTGTTCAGGGGTGCCTTTCTCTATGGACTGTGGCACCTATCCGTTTCTGGTGACTCATCCCCTCTTTTGATAACAGCCCTTTTACTGTAGTCTTAGGGGAAATGAGGTCATAGAGCTTGTTTGCCAAAATAGGGAGAATGCTGATCTGATCCTTTATCAAGGAAGGAAGACAGATATCTTTGTTCCAAGTTGTCAGTGCCTCTCAAGTTGTACTCCCTGTTGATCCAAGAAAAGGCGACCTAGTAGGTGAGAAGTTTGGAAAACCCTCAGCATTCTGGCTGGAATCCCCACAGCCTGAGGCTGGTGTTTTGCTTATCATTCTTCAGGCCTGAACTTGGCTTATACTCTGAGCTGGAACCTACCTCCCTACCCAGGATCTGTTAAGACCCCCTGCACTAAATTAGTGACAAAGTAGATATTGGGTGGTATTGAGAAACTGATGTGACTTCATTTTTTTTTATTGGTTGTTCAAAACATTACACAGCTCATGACATATCATCTTCCATACATTTGATTCAAGTGGGTTATGAACTCCCATTTTTTACCCCAAATACAAGTTGCAGAATCACATCGGTTACACATCCACATTTTTACATAATACCATATTAGTGACTGTTGTATTCTGCTACCTTTCCTATCCCCTACTATCCCCCCTCCCCTTCCCTCTCATCTTCCCTCTCTACCCCATCTGCTGTTGTTTAATTCTCTCCCTTGTTTTTTTTTCCCCTTTCCCCTCACAAACTCTTATATGTGATTTTGTGTAACAATGAGGGTCTCCTTCCATTTCCATAGTTTCCCTTCTCTCTCCCTTTCTCTCCCCCCACTCGTCTCTGTTTAATGTTAATCTTTTCCTCATGCTCTTCTTCCCTGTTCTGATCTTAGTTGCTCTCTTTATATCAAAGAAGACATTTGGCATTTGTTTTTTAAGGATTGGCTAGCTTCACTTAGCATAATCTGCTCTAATGCCATCCATTTCCCTGCAAAATCCATGATTTTGTCATTTTTTAGTGCTGCGTAATACTCCATTGTGTATAAATGCCACAGTTTTTTAATCCATTCATCTATTGAAGGGCATCTGGGTTGATTCCAAAGTCTAGCTATTGTGAATTGTGCTGCCATGATCATTGATGTGGCAGTATCACTATAGTATGCTCTTTTAAGGTCCTCAGGGAATAGACCGAGAAGGGCGATAGCTGGGTCAAATGGTGGTTCCATTCCCAGCTTTCCCTCTACCTCAGAGCAAAGCCTGTCCAAGGAAGGGGGCATGACCCTTGTCCTTGGAAAAACCCACAGAGCACTCCTAGGCACATATGCACCCTGCTGAGTTGTTTGTCTGCAAATAACAGGAGAGATCTGCAGCGCCAGGTGTCCCTGACTCAGTTAGGCTAGATGAGGACTCATAGCAACCCCCTAGCAACCACCAATCAGCATGAGACAGGGAAAATACCTGGGATGCCAGATGACCCCCCAGTATTTTTTGGTGGTTGATAACATGTTGGGAAACCATGTAATTTAGCATGTACCCCTCTCACGGATTAAACCAATCAGTTAAAAGAATCCCCCTCTTGTATTAATCAATCTCCTCTACCCAACTTGTTCCTGCCAATGAATGTGCTAATCAATGTTAAGAGTTGTTGTTTGACTTTTCCGCGGTGTGAAATGATTTGCTGTGTGATGTTGTGACACATAGAGTATCCCCCAAAACCTATAAAATCTCACTGAACAAAGGACCGGGGCTCACTCCTCAGGACCGCTGCGTTGGAAACAGTTGTGAGTCCAGGCTCGAGCTTGCAATAAAGACTCTTGTGTGATTGCATCGGATTCGGCTCCTGGAGGCCTATTGGGGTCCCATGAATCTGGAATTACAGTATCACAGTGACCAGGGTTGCCTACCTTTCCCAGCAAGGTGCCTTCTCTTATCTAGTCACTGACTGACAACCTGAGGGTGAAGTAGATGCACATAATAGGATTCCTAGATCAGATCTGCACATTAGGAAGTTTGCTCAGGATGCTATGTGCAGAATGGGGGCAACGAGAAAGAAGAGGAAATCCTTAGAACATAATCACAGGAGGCCTCAAGTGGAGCACAAGTGCTAGGATGGAGAGAATTAAATGGATTTGGAAGATACTTAGGAAGCTCTGAGGATTCTGTGAAGTAGGAAAGGGAGGGATCAAAGGTAATGCCCAGGTTTCTGGTTTAGGTAATCTATTGTGTTTCCAGAGTACTAGGTCAGAGGCCTGACTCTGGGGGTCCCAACAAATCAGGTCTGGCCACTCACCTCAAAACCAAACAGAAAAAGTAATGGTGAAAAGCAGGAAAGCAACTTTAATCAATATGGCCATATTGGGAAGACAAGTGAGATCAAGTGGCTCATTCCCATCTTCAGAGGGACTGGTGTGAGCTTTAGGTTTAAATAGAGGAAGAAGTGGGTGAGAGGTATGCATATTTAAACAGTCTTGGTCAAACTGTGGTCTGGTTAATTATTCTCTCAGCTCCAATCACACAGTCTTATGGGTCTCAGGGAAATTGCTAAAGCCTAGGGGGAAATCTCCACTTGCTTCTACAGGATGTTTTTCAG